AGAGCATCATACAGAAGGCTCTGAATAGCCAAAAGGTGGAGCCATGAAGCTGCTGAGCTCTATGAAGAAGGAGCAAAGATAAGAGGTGGACTGCAGCCCAAAGCTGAGAATTTGGTAAGGAATTTCCCTGCCCCTCCTTCTTCCAGAAGACAGAGAAAGCTATTGTTTTCTTTTCTTAGGATCTGCCCCTTTCCTTCAGAGAAGGAAATGGCAACCCACTCCAGTATTCTTGCCTAGAGAATTCTGTGGACAGAGGAACCTGGTGGGCTGCTGTCCATGGGGTCACACAGAGTCAGACATGACTGAAGCGACTTAGCATGCATACATGCATTGGAGAAGGAAATGGCAACCCACTCCAGTGTTCTTTCCTGGAGAATCCCAGGGACAGAGGAGCCTGGTGGGCTGCCGTCTATGGGGTCGCACAGAGTCAGACACGACTGAAGCAACTTAGCAGCAGCAGCAGCCCCTTTCTGTGCTAATAAGGATTCCAGCCTTTAGCAAGGGGACCCCTTAAATCCATTCTCCCCCTTGGTGTTTACCTGCATGCATTATCTTTTTCACTCTTCTCCCTTACCCTCCAATGGCTCTTCTAAAACAAGGTCTATGAAGCCTTCCAATATATGACTCTGGTCGTGTTCTCACCACCACTTTCCTCACAGTCAAGATCCTGGCAACAAGGACTACTTATCTTTTGCCATGCTTAGACCATGTTGCATTAGCTACTCTGTGCCTGTTTCTTTTACCTCGCTTAACTCATAATCATCATAGCCAAAACGCTTTCTCTGAACCTCCCACCCCAGGTTCCTGGGCTGCGCTTGGTGTTCTGGTACATTTTGCCAATCATCACACTTCGTCATTGCCATGGACCTATGTTTATGTGTCCATCTGTTTCACTATATTCTGAGCTATCAAGGGCAGAGACTGAGCACTCCTTATTAACTTTTATATTAATAAGTTATTCTGAGGTACCACACACCTCAGTAGGAATGCAGCCCTTATTCCATTTTGGGTATCAATACAGAGTTCACACTTACACAAATGCAGACAGAGCCATCTAGATTTCCCTCCCCCAAGTCATTAGCTATTTGGAATCCCACTGCCCATAATCAAAACTTCTCAATCCAGCACCAACAGTCCTTCTTCCCTCTTGGGCTAACTGTAATCTGGCCCTTACTGGAAAATACTCCCCTATTGCTTCCTCATACATACATTGCTTATTCCTTCACATGCAATGTATATTGGTGTCAGTGTCTTCCTCTTTTCCTCAGAGTTACTCCTTGACTTTCATGTAAATGCCCTTGTCCCTTTGGAAATCTGTGATAATCTCCTTTTCCCACTCCTAATTCAAGTAATTTGCCAACCTCCACCACTTATGGTATTTTGACACCTGGATTAGTCTTACACTCCCTCCTCAGTTCTCATTTGTCTTCATTATCCATGGAAACCATACACATAACTGGCTTCTCGGTTCTTTGACCACTTAAACTGAAATAACCTTTGCCCCCAACAGGCCTGCTCTGCAGTTGTCTTCTCAGCAGCTCCTCTCCTGAATCCTGACTCAGCCCTCAATCCTGTGCCCCTTCTCCATCCTCCCTGTCAACCCCATCTCCACTTCAATTCCTAAGCAGTCTAGACTCCTTGGACTGTTACTCTAATCACTTCACTGAATCCTTAACATCTTCACCTTGTCATCATTTAACTTTAGAGCAAAACCCCAGTCCCCCCATCAGCTGTCCCCAACCTCCACTCCTACAGCACAGTGCTGAGTGTTGTCATAGGAAATCCCTCAACCACTCTAATGCCACTACAAATTCAGTCTCTCATCACGACTGGATGTCTGTGACCCTGTTTGCCTGGTGAGTTCTTCATCATGTTCTCTACTCAATACCTCTCGTTCCTCCCCTTTCCTCAAATTTCCTAGCCTACTACTTCCCTTTTCACCTTCAGTGGCTGACCATGTAAAACTACCACAGGAAAAAAATAGGAAGACATTAGGCAGATAATCTCTCAACTTTTTACCTTAACACCTGCAAACTCACCTCCATGATAATCATAATACCTTCCTCTTGCAATGCAGGAGACTCAGATTCAATCTATGGGTTGATCCCTGCATCAGGAAGATCCCCTGGAGAAGGAAATGGCAACGCACTCCAGTATTCTTGCCTGGAGAATTCCATGGACATAGGAGCCCAGCAGACTGCAGCCCATGGGGTCACAGAGTCGGACACAACTGAGCAACTAACACTTTCATTTTTCACTTTTCTGCTAAGGCTATAATCTCCAGGATGCACTTGAGCTCATTTGTTTGGATCTTCATAGGGATTTTGATCCATCATATATTCATTCTTTCTGCTCCCCCCTCCTGTCCTGCTCTCTCCCATATTAGTATTTTAGCATGTTCAAATTTCCCTCATCTCCCCACCCAGCCAACACAAAATTCTCACTGCAATCTCATCCTTTCTTCTATGTCGTTTTAGCTTGTTCTTCCCTATTCCTAGCCAAGTTTCTGGAAGAAGTGTTCATTGTTTGTTGTCCCTACTTCACCTCCCATATCCTGCTGAAGCCATGGCTAAATAGCTTCTCTCAATACTGTGTTAATATGGCTGCTCCCCACATCAATGTCTGCTTGCCAAATCCAAAGGCCATTTCAATTTTCTCTTCTGGTGCCTCTGGAAGCCCCATATTTCTGGGCTTTGGGCCCTCTTCTTCTCATCCCTTCTCAGTGGGATTCCCCTTTCCTCTGCTATGCAGTAAGTACACTGGTGTGCCTTCAGGTTCCGTTTTCAGACCTTTTTCCTTACTATACTTTCCCTGGATCATCTCATCTACTAACAGCTACAATTACCATTTTTTGTTTATTATTGCCAAATCTTTCGAACATCCTCTCTCCTTCATATAAATCCAACAGCCTACTGTTTATCTCCTGACATATGGGCTGCTGCTGCTGCTGCTAAGTCACTTCAGTCGTGTCCAACTCTGTGCGACCCCATAGACGGCAGCCCACCAGGCTCTGCTGTCCCTGGGATTCTCCAGGCAAGAACACCGGAGTGGGTTGCCATTTCCTTCTCCAATGCATGAAAGTGAAAGTGAAGTCGTTCAGTCGTGTCCAACTCTTAGCGACCCCATGGACTGCAGCCCACCAGGCTCCTCCATCCATGGGATTTTCCAGGCGAGAGTACTGGAGTGGGTGCCATTGCCTTCTCTGGACATATGGACTACTGAGTATTAAAATACATCTAATCCTGAAAAAAAAAAAAAAAGAGATAAAATACATCTAATCCTGAACTAGTCATGTTCCCTCTCTCCCCCACATAACTTTTCTCGCTCTTTGTTCTAGTACCTATCCCAGTGACAAACACAGGTTTAATTCTTCTGCCTCTTTTATCTTCCAATTGAAAGCACCAAGTCCTAACAATTCCATATCCTAAAAACCTCTGAAATCTATCCATGTTTCTCAAAGTCCATGGCCACTATTTAGCATAGTAGTTAAGAATGCTGGTTCACAAGCTAGACTTGGTTTAAATAATCACTCCACTATATATTATCCAGCTGAGTGATTCTAAATAAGCAATAACGTCTCAAGTGCCTCAGTTCTCATCACTCAGAATATGTTGCCTATCATTCATTAGTGCAGACCACCATCACCTCTACCTGGGATTACTCTAACAGCATCTTAAGAGGGCTCATAGTGCCTAGTCTGGCCCTTCTGCAATTCGGTCTCCTCAGTGTAGTCAGTAATCTTTCTAAAACACAAATCTCATCATGTTAACTTCTTACTATAAAGACTTTAATGATTCTTCCTTGTCTTCAAGAAAATATTTCAACTCCTGGGGCCTCTCTGGTGGTCCAGTGATTAAGACTCCATGCTTCCACTGCAGGGGTTGCAGGTTCAATCCCTGGTCTGAAAACTAAGATCCTATATGCCATGTGGCAAAAAAAGGAAAAAGAAAAAAGCTCTGTGATAAATACAGTATTTCAATTCCTTAAAAATGCACATAGGACTTTTAAAATCTGGTTCCTAAATCCTTATCTATTACTGTCCTCTATCACATGTAAGTCATACTGAACTATGTGGAGGCCTTCAGATTTACCATGCTATTCTCTGCCTCTGTCTGGGTTGCCGCATATACAAGCATCCCTAGGAAATATCGTGGGTTCAGTTCCAGACCACCGCAATAAAGCAAATACTGCAATAACGTGAGTCTCACAAATTTTTCAGTTTCATAGTACATATAAAAGTTATGTTTACACTATACAAGTCTAAAGTGTATAACAGCTTTATGTCTAAAATAATGTACATACATTCGAAAATAGTATCAGAAAAAATGGGACCAACAGACTTGTTCAACACAGGACTGCCACAAACCTTCCATTTTTAAAATATACAGTATCTGTGAGGTGCAACAAAACAAGGCAGGCCTGTACTGTTCTGGCTACAAGCCCCATCCCTTCTAAACTGGCCAGATCAACGTGTGCTTCTGCTTTACTTCTATCACTCCATCTAAAAAAGCCTGACTCCTAAGACTGATTAGGCACACCCCAGTTAGATCCTTCACATTCCATAGCTACTTTCATCCTAAACACCAGGTGTTAATCTCAACCAGAATTGCTGCTTTAAACTATAAGTTCCTTGAAGATGGTGACCATGCCTTATTCACCACTGTACCCCTAGGGGCTAGGATAGTGATGGACACGTAGTAAACCTTCAACAAGTAACTTTAACTGTGGAATATATTACTGAGGATGCACTGCTCGCACACCTTTTAATTAACTTTATCCAACATTTAAAATGTTACATCTAACCAATCATGTTACCAGTCTTTATAGCCCTTTAATGCAGAAGGAATTTCTTATTTTCTACTATATTATTATATGGAAGGAATGATCTGAATACAGACACACCATATTTTGTATTATGCAAGTAAGATTAAGATTGACTTGGCTGCCACATTTTAGAAGAAATTTTAAAAGATAACATTGAGAAAATTCTTAACACACAGTGAAAAGAGACAATAAAAGGTTTTTTTATTCAAAGGTATAACTGGGTAAGTAGATTTGTTTACAACCATTCTTGTGAAATACTTTTTAAAAAAATACAACCAACTTCTTTCCAAATAGCAGACACAGACCTCAGCTATGTTGACCTAATTTTTGGTTGATAATGTACATGATTATGCAGAAACAGGCAAGCTCACACTGGCAGATTAACTATCTCAGTCAAAACTCCGTTTGTGGCCCCCACTTCTTGATCGATTTCTATTCCCACTTCGTCTTCTACCATCTTGTCGACTTCCTGACCGACTCCCCTGCCGACTCTGTCTACCTGACCGGCCACCGGATCGACCACCTGGCCGGCCCGACCGGCCTGACCGGCCACCTGACCAACCACTCCTCTGTCTGGAATTAGAAGATGTGTTTCCATCATAATATTCTTCAATTTCAGGCAACTTGGCTGGCACTGAGAGTATCCAGTCTGAATCATGCCACTCTGCCTGTTGGGGTAATTTACAGGATTAACACAAATGCAAAATAGAAACCATAAGCAAGCACATGAGTACAGGAAACTCTTTGCATATCTATTAGCTAAATGTCATCAATCCATAAAGTCCAGAGTATCTGGAATAAAACTAAAAACCAGAAAGCAAAAACATATTCAAAGCTAAAACACAGGAACTTGAGTTCCTAAATTTTATGAACAAACAAAACAGAAACAGACTCAGATACAGAGAACAAACAGGTGGTTGCCAGAGGAGAGAGACATGGGGGGATGAGTGAAACAGATAAAGGAGATCAAGAGACAGGAACTTCCAGTTACAAAATAAATTAATCACAAGGATGAAATGTACAGCTTGGGGAATACAGTTAATTATACTGTAATATTTTCGAATGATGAACGTAGCAAGACTTATTGTAGTGATCATTTTGTAATATAAATACCAAATCACTATATTGTACACCTGGAACTAACACAGTTTCGTAGGCCAATTATACTTTTTAAATTTTTTTAAAAATGTAGACACTGGGAGGAAATGCTTCAAAATGCTAATAGTGGTTATCTCTGGGGGATGGGAATTTATGTATGATTGTTACTTTTTTTTGTCAATCACTTAGCCATGTCTGATTCTTTGCAACCCCATGGAGTGTAGCCCACCGGGCTCCTCTGTCCATGGGATTCTCCAGGCAAGAATACTAGAGTGGGCAGCCATTCCCTTCTCCAGGTGATTATTACCTTATACTTTTATGTATTTCTAGTTGTCTGCAATGAACATGTACTGCTTGTAATATTACAAAAAAAAAGTCATTAAAAATGAAAAAAATCCTCTTAAAACTTAAATCTCAAATTTAATGTAACAGTACAAAGCTTGGATCCTCCTCGACCCAAAAAAAGTTTCTAAAAGCTCAGTATTAGTCCGAGGAGAAATTTTCAGGCCAATTTTGGGACTCTAAATTCCTACTCGGTTTATACATTCTAAAAGAGCCCACCAGTTTCTCAGCACAAAACGAATAGGCCACACTAATTAGTGGTCATTGCTTTCAGAAGATATACTGACAAAAACAAGATCTGAGAGCTGATAATGCAGATTAAAAATCTGTCAACAGGGACTAAAAATGTCACTATTGGAAACAATTTGGTATCAGGGTAAGCAAAATATAAAAATCAGCAGCCCTTAAGAGCATCAATATGTCATATCCTGCTACACTGTTTTTCATTGTGATCACGAGTTGCCAAGGCAAGTTAATATCAAAATACCTTACATGTCAGAATGAGCAGAGACAAACAGCCACATACACACAACTGGTGGCAATGTATGACCAAAGCCTTAAAAATACACACATTTTTTGGCCAAGCAGACATCTTAAAAAGTTCATCTTAAAGAAATAAACTTGGCAATGCATAAAGAATTAGCTATGCCAACATTTAAAGCCAACCTGTTTATAATGCATGTGAGTTGCTCAGTCATGTCCGACTCTTTGTGACCCCACGGACTGTAGCCTGCCAGGCTCTTCTGTTCATGGAATTCTCCAAGCAAGAATACTGGAGTGGGTTGCCATTTCCTTCTCCAGAGGATCTTTCCAATCCAGGGATCAAACATTGCAGGCAGATTCTTTACCATCTGAGCCACCAGTGCAAATCTGTTTATAATAGAGTATTAGTATTGGAAATAATCTAAATGTCATAAAATAGGACACTGTTTAAGTTGGTCACCCATGTGGCCAAATGCCAGGGGGCCAATAAAAGTAAGTAACTGTATAGTTGATAAACAAATGTGTTTACAACATATTCTGAATTTTAAAAAGGACTTTGGAAACCAAATAATCCCATTCTTGTGTCAAAATATGTATATAAATATGCACAGGGACACAAATAGACAAATTTCACAGTGTAGGAATTTAGTGGACAATCTCTTTCTTCTTCAGATAAAACACAGGAAAATTTTTTTAAAGAAAGAGAGAAAGGAATTGAAGAAAAAGAGACAAAAATCAAATTATATAGAATGAACTTTGCAGACCTTCTTATATTTAAAAACTTCAGGAGATAGGGGAAAATGTAAACACAAAATTGGATAATACTAATGAATTACTATTTGGGGGGTTAATAATGGTATTATCTTTTTTTAAGTGCTTTTAATATCTTAGCTATATAAAAGTATTTATGAAAAAAAAAAAAAGTCTTTATGGTTGAAATGATAGACTTCCTAGAATTTGTTTCAAAAGAATACAGGAGAGGGCTTCCCTGGTGGCTCAGTGGTAAGGAATCCACCTGCCAATACAGGAAACACGGGCGGTTCGAGCCCTGATCCAGGAAGATCCCACAGGACGTGGAGCAACTAAGCCTGGGTACCACGAATACCAAGCCTGTGCTCGAGAGCCTGGGAGCTGCAACTACAGAGCCCACGAGCCACCAGTACTGAAGCCTGTGAGCGCTGCAGCCCGTGCCTCGCAGCAGGAGAAGCCACTGCAATGAGAAGCCCATGCACTGCAACTGGAGAGCAGCCCCCACTCTCTGCAACTGAGGAGAAGAAACGCCCACACAGCAAGGAAGACCCAGCACAGCCATAAATAAAATTAAAAAAATACAGTGTAAGTGGATGGAAGTAGACACGAAACACACCTGACCATGAGTTGATAACTGCTGAAGCTGGGTGATGAGTACATGAGGATTTGGACTGAAATTCTATTTTTTCACATTTGACAAACTGGATATTTATAATTTATTAGTTTATTAAGGAATTTTTAATTGATTTACACATGATAAAGATATTATGAATATGTTTTTTAATCCCTATCTTTTTGAGAAACATATTCAACTATTTAACAGATAAAAATTTTTATATACCTGTAACCTTTCTGATTCAGTTGTGGGAACATCAAAGCAAACACCCTAAAAGCAAAATGAAAATATTTTTATTTAGATGCACATGAGTTGATTTTTTAAAATACCTTCTTATAATTTTATATAAACTAAAAAAAGAAAAGATTAAGTGGGTCCCATGACTGCTTATAGAATTAAACCAGCTAATACATAATAATGCATGACACAGAATGGCTGCTAATTATACTTCCTAAATCTAAAAGTAAACCAGTATCTAATAAGAATTGACTCCTAATAAGCATCTAGAGTATTCTCCAGAAAAGTTTTTGTAGACACTATAATGTTCCATGTCCCTTGTAAAATGACCCATCTAATAAATTCCTTTAAAAATTTAGTGCCAGGAGATAACCTAAGATGTTTCCTCTTTGATCTGGGCTGCCAGTACACTGAAAGTTAATTAATATCCAAGTACAGCAAATGGTTTGGCCTAAGGATCTAGGTATATTTTCCCTCCCCCTCCACATTTTTTCTGAATGTACAAAGTTGTCCTACTTGCCACAGATCTCTTTTGAAGGTAATATTAAACTTTCAGAAAGATAACTTTCCAATAAACAAGTTAATAAATTCTAGAGTAGCATGAACTTATATAGTCAGGTGAGATGAATAAATGTAACATCTTTTCACAAAACCATTAGAAGAAATCAGCCACTAAGATTACAGATGGCTTTAACTTCGCTATTTCATAACTGTATGAAAATACCTAATTCAGTTATCCTCATTAACAACCAACAGCAGGCCACTTAGAAATCAATATTGTGTATTCTCTTTAAAAAAAAAAAAGAACTATTTGGCTGTTGCAATTATGTTACTCAATTGTAAAATAAACACACACAACCACATATGCATTCAAAGGCAGAAACTTAGATAACTTGAAAATTACAAATTAGCAGAATGACTTAACAGCTTTCTAGAGGAATGGGTTACTTACATAACTCCCCAAATTTCCAACTGGAAACACACTAACACATGGATAAAACAGTATTATCCATCCCATTAGACTTAAAAAAAAAATGAACAAAATCTATTAGTCTTTATAAACATATACGGCAGTTGCCTAAGAAAACCTACCATATTTCCTTTTAGGAGGCACATTCTGGTAATTTGGGACACAGCATTACTACTCAGCTTTCTGTTAAGTTCTTTCCAAGCACAGCTGACATCCTGTATTTCTTCTGGGCTTTCCAGAGTCATGGTCACAAACCCCTTAAGGAATAAAAGTCACACTGTGTTTGAGAGAAAAGCAGCAGCAGTAGGACAATAACATTCTAACTTGACAGCCTTTTTTGACTTACGGCATCCCAAGTGGCACTAGTGGTAAAGAACCTGCCTACCAACACAGGAGATGCAAAAGACAAGGGTTCAATCCCTGGGTCGGGAAGATCCTCTGGAGGACGGTATGGCAACCCACTCCAATACTCTTGCCTGGAGAATCCCATGGACAGAGGAGCCTGGAGGGCTGTAGTCCATAGCATTGCAAAGAGTTGGACACAACTGAAGCAACTTAGCATGCATGTGTGCACTTCTTATAAGCCAACATGACCAATATAACATGACCACTAAAAAAATAACTTATTTTAAACTATATTAATATAAGACTAATGCTTACAGATCATTAAAAGCACCATTCTTGTATACATTGATGTAAAGAGTACATTTAATTGTAAACATAATGCTTCAAGAGGAAATTAAACTACAGCATCAAGGATAAGAAGGTAGTGAAGAATTAAGGAAATGCTGAAGGACTCAAGGTTAGCTTTGAGTGGAAAAACAAGAGGACATAAACTTCTTTAAACTTTTGAAGGACTACACTTGAGCAAAAATGACTTGCTCTGTGAAACTTCACTGGACAACAAAATGGTCAAGTGAAGAAGATATAGGGAGGCACTGATGTAACAAATAGTTAAGTGCCCCCTAGGTATGTGCCAGTACTGTCCTAGGTACTAGAGATTCAGCAATCTATAGTCCTTTGTCTCAGAGTTACCCTGTAGTGTACATGTAGCAAGGGGTTGGGGTGGGGGCAGTGAATAACGATGGGAGCTGTTGCTGTCTAGTTGCTAAGTTGTGTCCAACTCTTTTGCTACTCTTTTGTAGCCCACCAGGCTCCTCTGTCCATGGGATTTCCCAGGCAAGAATACTGAAGTGAATGGCCATTTCCTTTTCCAGGAAAGCTTCCTGACCCCAAGGATCAAACCCAAGTCTCCTGCTTGGCAGGCGGATTCTTTACCACTGAGCCACCAGCGAAGTCCAACGGTGGGTGAGGAGACAGTAAACAAATAAGTAAATATATGTAATGTCAGACAGTCATAAGAATCATGAAAAAAATAATAAAGCAGGAGAAGAAAATGAAAAGAGAGAGTCAAGGCAGCAACAAGCTACTTTAGACAGGGTGATGGGGAAATTCTCTGATACAGTGATACCTGATAGAAAGCTGAATGAAGTGAAGGAGGGAGCGAAGATTCGTAAGAGAACATTCAGTATAATACAAATAAGCACAAAGGCCTTGTGTAGGATTAAGTTTATATTTGAGTATCAGCAAGTAGGTTATGACAATTGAAACGAGCAAGGGGAGAGTGATAGGAGATGAGGCCAAGAGGTAGAAAGGGAAGACCCTGCAGCACATTCCTTGTAAAGACTTTGGACTTTGATTTAACCCATAAAAGAAATACAAAACCACTAACACCCTGTTGCTAAGATATTTAAGCAGAGGTTAGATGACCCATCTGCCAAAGAGGGATTCTTTTATTAGATAAAAGTTGGGATTAGATGACCTCTTAGATACTTCTTAGGTTTAAAAGTCTACCTTATGTTGATGTATGGCAGATATGAAACAAATACTATAAAGCAATTATCCTTCAATTAAAAATAATTTTTAAAAGGTAAAAAAAAAAGATATTACAATGGTAATGATGAAATATTATAAACAGTTTTATGCCAATAAATTTGATGACTTAAAAAGTGTACCTTAATGTTTCCTTAAGAAATGTGGTTTAAGTTTTCTTGAGAAGTATCTGGTAGGTTATTAGGGATAAAGTATTTGCTCAGTGCTAAAATAACACCCCATGGATTTCTTACTAATTACAGAATAAAATATACTTTTTATAATGGGAATACATGGCTCTGGTATGGTTTGACATCCGATACTGACCTGGCAGGGGGATAGGTCAGATGGTGTTTTATGCACACATACATACTCTCCACATATACAGGCAATCCTTACTTTGCATGGCATTATGTTAGCTGCAGAGTCTATTTCTCAATTTGCATGGCTCCATGACCAAAAAAAAAACATGAGGAACAGGTTCTGACATACAAGTTTCAGTTAACACAATACTGTGCAAAGTAAAGATGCCCTGTATTTCTCTCCAGATAGGTATCTATGGTTCAATTTTAATCTTTCTCAACCACATACAATTTTCTCACAGATTTCTACCTTATCGGAGGTGATCAAAGATCGTGGTTCAAAACTCGATGCGCCAGAGATGTGGGCTAATGCTGCAGCCAGTGCATCCACTGCCCCTTTCTCTTCTATCAGTCTCTGAGCTGATGGTCGGAAAAAATCAACAGCAGCATAAGAAACGGAAGCCAAAGACCTACGGTTTAAAAACAGTAAATTTTCCTGGTCAAGACAAAGGGGAAAGATTAAAGATAAAAGAATGAATGGGAAAAGAAAGCAACATTTTCATATTTTAATATAATTAAATGTCTGTTGGTAAAACTGGTGATTAAATTTTCTGATATGTCAACTAGGAGAGCTTAAGATGTATAGCCTAATACAAGAGAAAAAATCATTCAGCAAGGTCAGAAAGCATACCTGATGGCATCCATGCTTTTAGATTTAACTAAATCCATTGTAGAAGGAACACCTACACGTTTAAAAGTAATTCCCTGAAAATGAAAGAATTACATTAAAGAAAAATGGAAGTCTTTACAATTAATTCCTAAATTAATCTAGTTTGTTGAATTTCCATTTCTTGGACTTAAAGATTTCCAAGCCCTAGCAGATCAAGATTTCCTAATAAATCATCAATAACAAATTCTAGAAAGAGAAAAAAAAAATTTTTTTCAATTGTCTCTTAGTTACAAATCATAGAATTACAGTTACAAAACAGCTGATTTTTAAAAAAAGATGCTGTTTACAATCAATTTTTTCTTATTAGCTTCATCGTACAAAGTATGTCAAATAATGTATGAAAATACACATCATAAAAACAGGAAAAATACTACAAAAACTTGAGACCACAAAAAATGTGTAATTTCTTGTAGAAACTCGCTATTGTAACATTACTCAATACAATCTTGACTATTACACCAAGATAATGTCACAATCATCCATTTACAATATCAGGCTAAGAGGTACAGAAATCACAATGCACTTCTGATTTTAGTCAAGGGAGAAATTCAAGGGAAAAGGGAGAAAGTCAGCTCTTCTGTCTTCATAATAAAAGCTGTATTAAAACAAAGTCTTGCAGCTAATATAACTTTAGCTCTCCACATGCTTCACATCCAAATGCAGCTTAAATGAGAAGTCATAAAATCTATTTGTGAGAACAAATATAAAAAGATCTCTTTTCTAAGGCACCATTTAGATAATAAGCCTGAAATAATTTAACTCTACTTACTGCTTTTTGTTCCACATATCGTAATTGACCTCTTTCTCTCGGTTGATAAAAACATATGCAGATCCCTGTCCGGCCAGCTCGACCTGTGCGTCCAGAGCGATGAATATAGGACTCAACATCCTAAAAATAAAAGAGGTAACTCTTCTTAAAAATCTGGCAAATTAAACAGTCATTCCAGCAACCAAATAGTAATACTAGAAGCAACAAGACTACTACTATCAATAATAACATTTTTATTTCAATCCTGCTGCTCTTTTTAATATCCCAGAGAATGTTTATGTTTGAATTCTGCAGTGAAAGGGATGAGATTTAGAACCTTTTTATCCAGCCTATCCCAAGGTTCTTTATATGGCAACTTTTTATTCTTCTCTTGCATGATTTCATACTTCAAATGTAAATAAAGCAGTTAATTATTTGCAAAGGTACCAGATTCCGATCGATTTAACTACACTAACAAAAACTGGCTAAGAGCAAGAATAGATAATATATATATATTTTAATCTAAGCGAAGTCTTGTAAATAAAAGGCAATTTACATAGCTACTCTTATTTTCTCCAAATCAAATCTCATTTCCTTGCAAAGTAAAAACCCAACTTACACCTATTAGAATGGCCATCACCAAAAAGACAGAAGAGAACAGATTAACATTTGTTAATGCTGGTGTGGAAGTGGAGAAAAGATAACTTTATGCACTGTTGGAAAACAGTATGGAGGATCCTCAAAAGTTAAAAACAGAATGACCGCATGATCCAGTATTACATTTCCAGGAGTATATCCAAAGGATATGAAAACACCATTCAAAAAGATATTCACACCCCTATGTTCACAGCAGCATTATTTACAATAGTCAAGACACAGAACCAACCTAAGTGTCCATCAAGATACGAACGAATAAAAAGGTTTATATGGAATATTATTCAGCCATAAAAAGAGGAAACCCTACCATTTGTGACAACATGGATGAACCTTAAAGGCAATATGCTAAGTGAAATAAGTCAGAGAAAGCCAAATACTGTATGATCTCACTTATACATGGAATCTAAAAAAACAACAACAACAAATTAAAAAACTAAACTCATAGAAACAGAGATCAGACTTGTGGTTACCAGAAGCAGAGGGTGGGGGGAAGGAGAAATGAAGGAAGATGGTCAAAAGACATAAACTTTCAGTTAAAAGATAATTCCTTTCTTCTTTTATACCTACATGAGAAGATGGATGGTGGTTTAACCTATTGTGGGCATCAATTCACAACATATATAAATCAAAGCATAGTGCTGTTATGGCTTAAACTTATACAGTGATGTATGTGAATTATTTTTCAATAAAATTGGTGGGGGAAAAACTTATTTCCTACCTGTGGAGGTGAACTCTGAATCACCAGGTCAACCTCAGGAATGTCCAAACCACGGGCAGCCACATTGGTTGCCACCAAAACTTTAAAACTACCCTCTCTGAAGCCTTTCAGTGTAATTTCTCTTTGTGACTGAGCGATGTCCCCATGTAAACACTGGGCATTCTATTTGAAACAAAAAGGAAAAGTAAGTGTATAGCACATACTTAGCAGTGACAGCATCCAAATACTATAAAGTCTGTGCTCTTTTTGTTGTTGTTTTTATTTATTTGGCCACACCGTACAGCATGTGGGATCTTAGTTCTCCACCAGGGATTGAACCTGCACCCCGGGAGTGCAAGTGTGGAGTCTTAACCACTGGACCACCAGGAAAGTCCTTCCTCTTTTTGTTGCTGTTTCTAAATCTGGTAATTATAAAAATACATGCTTTTAAAAATCAAACAATGCAGAAAAACATTTAGCATAAAATGGAAAAGCTTTCCTAGTATCAGTCTCCTAATAAGTAACTGCTAACAGTTCAATAAATATTCCTCCACACATTATTTTTTAAACATACACACCTCACAAATCCTAGCATATAATTTTATGAATTTACTTATAAAGGTGGGATTATATTGGGACTTCCCTGCTGGTCCAGTGGCTAAGACTCTGCACTCTCAATGTATGCGGCCTAGGTTTGATTCCTCGGGGAACTAGATCCCACATGCTACAACTAAGAGTTCACAAGCCACACATGCTGATCCCAACAAGATCCCACATGCTGCAACGAAGACCTCGTGCAGCCAAATAAATAACTTTTTTTTAAAAAAGAGATTATACTATATATGTATGGTTTTACAACCTACCTTCTAAATTTGTTATATCTCAGCCAGATACACATCTACTTAATTTTTTAAAACTACATATGATTTCTTCATACAGTATCTTCAGTATCTTTCTTCATACAGATCTACAGTATCTTCTTTTTTTCTGGCCGCGACCCATGCAATCTTAGTTTCCCCAACAGGGACTCAGCCCAGCCCCAGCAGTGAAAGCTCTGAGTCCTAACCACTGGACTGCCAGGAAATTCCCAGTATCATTTATTTTAGCAATACTCTACTAATGAACATTTGGGTAGGATCCAAACTTTCACCTTTAGAAACAATGCTATAGTGAATAACCTTGTACTGTATCTCCAGATCCCTCAGTATATGTATATTTCAGTAAGCTACATATCTAGAAGTTGAATTCCTAGGTCAAAAATTCTAAACATTTAACATTTTAATAGCTACTGTAAAATTGTATTATAAAAAGAAGTTTGTAAACAGACAGCATATGCACATATGACTGGAGCCATAGGAGTGATTAGTTATATTTATCTATACACATAACAATACTTAGTCCTAACCACTAGACCACCAGCAAATTCCACAGCTATACTTCTATATTTCTATACTTACTGACTGCTTGTTGTAAGAAAAGCACTGTAATAAACACCTTAAATTATTTTGTCTTAAAAGTATAAAAAAAAATTAATATCAATTTTTAAAATGGGAACATGTGCAGTGACGTATGAAGTGATTTGCCCTAGGTTACAGAGCCAGGAAATAACACAACTGGAATTTACATTGTGTTCTGACTCCAAAGTGCAACTAATCATTATACACATAAAGAACATGTTAATAAGTGAGAACAATTACAGAAGTAGAACTGTAAGGAATGCCAGTATTTAAAGTGCAAGTAAGAACACAAAAAGACTTCAACAAAGTTGGGAAAGATTAGCCAGGGAAGAAGGAAGAAACCTGTGTGATAGCATGGAACCCAAATTAGGAGAACTGTTTCAAGAAAAGATACTTTTTTTAAAAGTCAAAAGCAAATATACTTTTCCACAAACATCTATGACAAAATTTAGTGACAAAGTATTTTCATGGTTTCCACACATAAGAGAGACAAAAACCTATGGCAGGGGGGTGGGGGGTGCTTGCTAGTCCTAAGAACAGATAGATACTCCCCAGAAAGCATAATGGGGAAAGCATAATTTGAGAAAGTCAGCTGAAACTGGTAGAATTCTTACACATTTAAGGGTGATTGTGAGGAGCCAGAGATAAAGTGTGAAACCAAATACCAAAAAAATTAGAATTCTAGAAATTCTGCTGAAAAAGCCTTAAACAGTCTCGGCCCAAATGAACTTTCAAATTAACAAACTGATGCTTCCTTGCAGGGACAAAACCCTAAAATTCAAACTGAGGATGACAGGGATCCCAGAAGCAAAGGAACGAGATGACTCTCAGATGAAAGTGAAAGGAAAATCAGCCAGAGCTCAGAAAGTGGGAGACTTTTTTAAAACAACTTTACTGAGATATACTTTGTAGACTGTATTCTTAAATACTATCAAAAATAAAAGAGGCAGTTCTAGACCTGTGAAGTGAGAAAACTATTCTGACCCATAGCTCCTCATCAAAAGTTTGAAAAGATTAATCCCATTTAAAAATGAGCAACACAACTCCAGAAAAATAAATGACCCAATCAAAAAATGGGCCAAAGAACTCAACAGACATTTCTCCAAGGAAGACATACAGATGGCTAACAAACACATGAAAAGATGCTCAACATCACTCATTATCAGAGAAATGCAAATCAAAACCACAATGAGGTACCATTATACGCCAGTCAGGATGGCTGCTATCCAAAAGTCTACAAGCAATAAATGCTGGAGAGGGTGTGGAGAAAAGGGAACCCTCTTACACTGTTGGTGGGAATGCAAATTAGTACAGCCACTATGGAAAACAGTGTGGAGATTTCTTAAAAAGCTGGAAATAGAACTGCCATATGACCCAGCAATCCCACTTCTGGGCATACACACCAAGGAAACCAGATCTGAAAGAGACACGTGCACCCCAATGTTCATCGCAGCACTGTTTATAATAGCCAGGACATGGAAGCAACCTAGATGCCCATCAGCAGACGAATGGATGAGGAAGCTGTGGTACATATACACCATGGAATATTACTCAGCCATTAAAAAGAATTCATTTGAATCAGTTCTAATGAGATGGATGAAACTGGAGCCCATTATACAGAGCGAAGTAAGCCAGAAAGATAAAGACCATTACAGTATACTAACACATATATATGGACTTTAGAAAGATGGTAACGATAACCCTATATGCAAAACAGAAAAAGAGACTCAGATGTATAGAACAGACTTGTGGACTCTGGGAGAAGGCGAGGGTGGGATGTTTCAAGAGAACAGCATTGAAACATGTATATTATCTAGGGTGAAACAGATAACCAGCCCAGGTTGGGTACATGAGACAAGTGCTCGGGCCTGGTGCACTGGGAAGACCCAGAGGGATCGGGTGGAGAGGGAGGTGGGAGGGGGGACTGGGATGGGGAATACATGTAAATCCATGGCTAATTCATTTCAATGTATAACAAAAACTACTGTAATGATGTAAAGTAATTAGCCTCCAACTAATAAAAATTTTAAAAAAAAATAAAAAATAAAAAAAAAATAAATAAAAATGAGCAACAGAACGGGTTATGGTTAAATACTATAGAAAGTAATTATAAGGGGACAAATAAAAATATTCACCAAAACAATGAAAGAGCTCTAGAAAGGCATGCCTGCAAAACAGATAAAGAGTATATATTATATTTCTGAATGAGCTAAAAGAAAATTTTTAAATATATGATATATGAGAGAACAAGAAAAATCAGAATGAGAAAAAGTAAAATATGGGATGAAATGACTCAGAGGTAGAAATAAAAGGCAAAGACTTTTCACAAATGAAGACTACACTGGAAGGAATACAAGACTGATTGAATAAAACAAATGATGCCTTAATTTTGAAAAGTTTGAAAATTTAAATAAAGATTTTAAAAATCTGTTATCAAGTGATAAAAGAGGCAAAAAGAGCCAACATATGTATAACAGGAGTCCTTGAAGAAAAAAACCAAAGCAATCAGACAAACCAAATACCAGAAAAATTAGAATTCAAGAAATTTTGCTGACATTTAAAAATACTTATATTTGAAACTACAAATTGTGTGCACTGTGCACTCATAAAAAGTGAACAACACCGAAATAAATTCTAGTGTAACTACTGATTTTTAAAGAAAAAGGAAACAACACGTTTGTATTCAGGCAAAAAAACTAAATCAATCATTTATAACAGGAAAAAATCAGACTGGTGTCAGACTTTTTATAGTATGCTTTATTCCAATGGAAAACATATTTAAGATACTGAAGGAAAAGGTAAACCAAGAATTTTATATCCATCCAAAATGATTTTAAAGTTACAAACAAGCTATCATCAATACTACTACTACTACTACTAAGTCACTTCAGTTGTGTCCGACTCTGTGCAACCCCAGAGACGGCAGCCTACCAGGCTCCTCTGTCCCTGGGATTCTCCAGGCAAGAACACTGGAGTGGGCAACTTGCCATTTCCTTCTCCAATGCATGAGAGTGAAAAGTGAATCATGAGCCCTTCCTTGGGAATCTTCTAGATACTAAGTGACAGCAAAAATGACTGAAGAGACATTGATACAAAGGCCAATGGTGTTGTTACCAATAGATGTTAATATCATAAAAAGGAAAAAGAACTAGATATTACATCTCCAAATGGAAGTATATCATCTATGAAATAACTTTGCACAAACCAACCAACCTCAATTTACAGGAAATACAGAAAGCAGCAGCATACTATTTTCTGTTAAATGGTATCACTCACGAAAACTTGGTTTCTTAAATAATTTAAAAAGCTATAAGAAGAAACAGAAGAATCCATGTATTGAAGAGATTTAATGAAATCACTTATTTGGATTCAAATTAAAAAAAAAAAAGCCATAAAAGAAAAAACAAAGCATGCATGCATGAAGCAATAGAGAATTTGAAGACTGATATTTAAAGATATTAATTACTATTAATTTTTTAGATGTCATTAACAGTATTGTGAGTTTTTAAAAAAATAATCCTTTTATTTTAGAAATACATACCCAAATATTTCTGGGCATAATAACATGTTATCTAGCATTTGCATCAGACTAATTAAGGCACAAGAAGTGAGGGGGCATTTGGATAAAGTAATTGTTGCAGCTGAGAAACAAATACACAGGGGCTCATGACACTGTCAACTTCTGTATATATCTTAGATAAGTCTGAAATTTTCTATTACAAAAACTTAAAAAAGACATAAGGATTCAGTGTTCTGACCCATTCATTCAGTAAATATTTGTGTTTCAACTTACACACAACTCTACAACATAACCCACTCTTATCCATAGAAACTCATCTTGTTTCCCTCTTTTGTGTTTTCAAGATCACATTTTCAAAGTCTTAAGAAAACTTCTGATGAAAATGGATAGAATTCAGGATTTTCCTGGTGGTCAAGCAGCTAAGACTCCATATGCCCAATGCAGGGGGGGTGGGTTCAATCTCTGGGCAGGGAACTAGATCCCATATGCTACAACTGAAGATCTCACATGCCACGACTAAGATCCAGCATAGCCAAATAAATAAAGAGTTGCAAGAGGATTTAGAAATCATATATTTAAAAAAAATAAAAATGGACAGAATTCAATCCTGACTTAACAGATCATGAGAGGCTGGCTCTAACGTCTTTCTGAATTAGACTCAACTCTAAGAATGACAATCAAACCTAGACTACAAAGGACATGACTTTTTTACTCAGTGATTCATAATCTATAATCTCAATTAAAGAAAGCATGAAAAAAGACTTACCTGTTTTATGTGTGGATTCATGGCCATTTCAGTTACATTCTTTTTGGTCTCACAGAAGATAATAGCCCTCCCTTCAGACCCACTGTAGACTTGAAGGACATCTCCAATAACTGCTGGTCTCTGAGACCAGTGGCACTGGATGGCCAAATGCTTTAAGGAAAGAAAATGTCAAATATCTGCTTCATTCAAATTACTGAAAAGATTTCTTTTCTACATTTATTTCTATTTGCTCAAGAATTGGTCTTCCTGGAAGACAATAAGACAATGATACTCCCTGATGACACTTAGTGAAACAACAGGCAAACTGTAGTACACTTATACAGTGGAATACTATTCAGCAATTAAAAGGAACCAACTAGTGATCTGTACAACAATATAGATGAATCTCAAAACATATCCTAGGTGAATGAAGCCTTACAGAAAAAGAGTACACATGATACCATTTATATGAAGTTTTAGAACAGGCAAAACTAATCTATGATGGAAAAAACACAACAGTGGGTTGCCTCTGAAAGGGGAATGGGCAGGGGCAGGGGGAACTTTCTGTGATGATGGTATAGTATTCTTTGTTTTGATAGGGGTTTGGGTTGCACACATGCATGAATCTACCAAAAGGAAGCAAATGTACACTTAAAATCTTGCATTTTGTTGTATGTAAATCTTATCTTAAAAACTGTAAATATTAGGTGGATGAATCTCAAAAACATTATGCTAAGTCAAAGAAGTCCAACACAAAAAAGCCACATGTTGTAATGATTACATTTATATGAAATATCCAGAAGAGGTAAATCCATAGAGACAGAGAGAAGATTGGTGGCTGCCTGGGGCGAGGATAAGGTGGGAATGGACAGTGACTGCTTAACAGCTACAGGATTTCCTTTTCAAGTAACGAAGTGTTTTGGAAGTAAATAGAAGCAATGGTTGTATAATACCATGAATGTACTAAATGACTCTGAATTGCACACTTCAAAGTGTTTAATTTTAGCTATATGAATTTTACTTCAACTCAAAAAATTGTAAATATTGAAATCTAGCTAAAGATATGCACACTAAAATACTCATGGGAAGGGAATTCAGTGTCAGTCCAGTGGTTAGAATTCCACGCTTTCACTGCTGAGGGCAAGAGTTCAATCCCTAAACTAAGATCCTGCAAGCGGCATAGTATAGCCAAAAAACAAAAACAACTTACAGGGAAGTATATAATTTCTGTAATTTGAAGTAAATTAAAAAATCAGATTGATATAAGGGATGAGTAGACAGGCAATAAGCAAATACAGCAAAATATTACTGGCAGAATCTAGCTGATGGGTACATGGGTGTTCACTATAAAATTCTCTCAGCTTTCAGTGTTTGAAAGTCTTCATGATAAAATGTTAAGGAAAAATCTACTGTAACATTTTAAATCTATTCATTTTAACATACTATATCTCAATAAAATTGTTTAAAACAATTAATTATCGAACACATGGAAAACACACCAAGCACAAAGAAGAAAATTAAGAATCATCTCTACCAGGTAAATCAAAGTCTTGCTTCTTCCTCTCCACCTCCCAAAAATAAAAATAAAAAAGCAGGGCTTCCCTGGTGGCTCAGTGGTAAAAAAAAATATGCCTGCCAAATGCAGGACACCAGGGTTCAATCCCAGATCCAGGAAGATCCCACATCGAGTGCGCCACAACTATTGAGCTTGCGCTCTAGAGCCCCAGAGCCGTAACTACAGAGCTCACGTGCCACGACTACGGAAGCTTGCACAGCCCAGCGCCAGAGTTCTGCAGCAAGAGAAGCCACCACAACGAGAAGCCGCATACAACAACCAGAGAGAAGCCCCACTCGCTGCAACTAAAGAAAAACCCACGCGGCAACAGTGACCAGCACAGCTCTAAATACAGTTTTAAATATCAGGTCGGTGCAAAAGTAATAATGGTTTCTGCATTGTTGAAATCTGCCATTTGATATTGGACTACATTCTAAATGAGGTTATCTTATACATCATTTTGCTGTGCATTTCTCGCTTTATGGGGGTTTTTTGCTAATAACTTATTACTTATTTTATACTTATTTTAGACTATGGAAATGATGTTACACAAAAAAGCAAATTCAAGCAATTTTCTTATTTGAGTTCAAAATGGGTCATAAAACAGCAGAGACAACTCACAACATCAACAACACATTTGGCCCAAGAACGAACATACAGTGTAGTAGTGGTTCAAGTAGTTCTGCAAAGGAGACAAAAGCCCTGAAGATGAGGAGCATTGTGGCTGGCCATGGAAGTCGGCAACAACCAATTGAGAGGGTTTATCAAACCTGATCCTCTTACAACTGCACAAGATGTTGCCGAAGAACTCAAAAGTTGACCATTCTATAGTTGTTTCGCATTTGAAACAAACTGGAAAGGTGAAAAAGCTTGATAAGTGGATGCCTCATGAGCTGACCAAAAATTTTTTTTAAATCATCATTGTGAAGTGTTGTCTTCTCTTATTCTATAGAACAAACAACGAACCATCTCTCGATCGGATTATGACGTGCAATGAAAAGTGGATTTTACACGACAACCAGTGACGATCAGCTTGGTAGTTGGGACTCAGAAGAAGCTCCGAAGCACTTCCAAAGCCAAAGTTGCACCAGAAGATCATGGTCATTGTTTGGTAGTCTGCTGCCCATCTTATCCACTATAGCTTTCTGAATCCTGGCGAAATCATTACATCTGAGAAGTATGCTCGACAAATCAATGAAAAGCACTGAAAACTGCAACGCCTGCCACCAGCATTGGTCAAAAGAAGGGGTCCAATTCTTCTCCATGACAACATCTGACTGCACACTGCACGACCAACACTCAAAAGTTGAACTATGAAGCTCTGCCTCATTTGCCACATTCACCTGACCTCTTGCCACCGACTACCACTTCTTCAAGCATCTTGACAACTTTTTGTAGGGAAAACGCTTCCACAATCAGCAGGATGAAGAAAATGCTTTCCAAGAGTTCACTGAATCCCAAAGCATGGATTTTTATGCTACAAGAATAAGTAAACTTATTTCTTGTTGGCAAAAAGGTGTTGATTGAAATGGTTCTTATTTTGATTAATAAAGATGTGTCTGAACCTAGCTGTATTGATTTAAAATTCACAGTCCCAAAACATAATTACGTCTGCATCAACCTAACAAATAAATAAAAATAAAAAGATCCTGAATCTGGTCAAGCCTGACAATCTAACCATTAACTCACAGGAATATTAAAGCAGAGGAACATGTTAACTAACACCAGAGTTGCAAATCAACAAAACTGAAACTATGGGAAACTTGAAAGACAATCTTTTATTCAATTAAAAACTGCAAAGAAGGGACAGAGGAATCTATACTTAAAAGATTTAATAGATAATTGGATAAAAAAGATATATACGATGGAATATTACTCAATGATAAATAAGAAAACGAAACCTTGCCATTTTCAACGACATGGATGAATCTAGAAAATGTCAGACAGAGAAAGACAAATATTGTATGATCTCACTTATATGTGGAATCCTAAAAAACAAAACAAAACAAATGAAAACAGAAACATAGATACAAAATTCAAAACAGTGGTACTGTTTTGAAGTGCCAAAGTTGGGGGGAGGGGACTTGAAACAGGTGACGGGGATCGATAGGTTAAAAACTCCTTGTTATAAAATAAATAAGCCAAAGGGATGCAATATACAGCATAAGGAATATGGTCAAAAATATTGCAACAACTGAGTATGGGAACAGATGGTTATCAGATTTCTTGTGGTGACCATTTCCTAACATATGCAAATATCAGATCACTATCTAGTACACCTGAAACTAACATAATATTGCACATCAACTATATTTCAATTTTAAAAAAGAAAACGATATGGTGAGTAAACGTTCAACACAAGAATAAAAAAAAATTAAAACACACATAAACCAGTAGCAATATAAGGATCTTATGTGAATCCATATTCAAACGAACTACCTACCAAAAAAAGGACAACTAGGATAATGTGAACACTAGCTATTTAAAGATATTTTTAAAAATTGGTTTTTTCTACTGTGATGGTAACTTTGTGGGTTTGTTTGTTTTTAAAGAGCTCTTCTTTCCCAGAAGTAATCATTATTATTAGTTTGATGCTTATCCTTCCCACCTATCCACCTATAAATATCTAAAGAATCTATTTAAGACTATCTGTGTATCTTTTAAAATAGTATGATTCTGTACCGAGAATTTTGTAATCTGGTTTTATCATTCAAATTCATTCTTTTTAGCCATTATGTTGTGTTTATAGATCATACTCTTGTTCATTTGGACTATTTTTATCTACGTACACATATATGTACATCTATCAAATGTAAAGGTGACATGTGATACATACTTGTCAAAAATATTGCAAATATTACCTTAATTCTCTTAAAAAATATATACTACAAGTTTAAATTTTCATAAAGTCAAAATTATAAAGCTTTTCCTTTATGGTGTCTTCTATCTTTATGTCTAGAAAAGTCTTCCCTCTCTGAAATCAAATAATTATCTACAAACTGCCGAAAATTATTTTATGGCTTAATTTTTTTAAATATTGGTGAATACTGTTGGTACAGGTTATGAAATAAGGATCTTTATTCCACCTAAGCTTTAATAAATTATCCCAACACCAGCAAACTGTGAATAATCACCTCAATTCTCACATTCTACATACTTTAAATCTGTCTCTATGGATATTTGTATCTCTCTCCTGTTAGGACTTGCCTGTTTGCAAACGTTTTCCCCTATTTTACTCTGCTCCTCAGTCTTAGACTATAGAAATACCTAGGCATCTTATTGACTAAGGACCAAAAACAAAAGATTTGGCCTGAATTGGTACCCAAAACATGTTTAGCTTCAACAAATTTCAAAACACCAACTAAAAGCTAAAATCTATCACAATGGAAAGCTACTTACTTCTACAGTAGTTGCAGCCTTTTGAGTCATTTTCCCAACAAGGTCAACCTGTTCATATCTGGATTTCATGTATTTTTTTGCAACTTTGTATACCCACTGTGGGCAAGTTGCAGAAAAAAGTAAAGTCTGAGGATTGTCTTCAGAATCTTAAATAAACAAAAAGAAATCAAATGCTTTATTTCTTAATATCCCACAAGATAGTCAGCTCTTAAAAATCCCCCCAAACTTCAAAGAAATAATGAAAAATTCAAAACTTGGGGTGAATTTTGAACTTTACTGCAGTTATTAAAACTTTCAACTTTCAAAACTGAGGGAAAATATGAAGAAACTGAACCGAAGCGGAAGATGCAAATTTAAGAAAGAACAATGAGCAACGAAATCAGTAAAATAAGTTAGTAAAACTACTCCTATAAAATAATACATGTAAGAAAACATGGAAAGTGAAGAAAATGATTAATGTATACTATTAAGCATTCTTGTTCAGAAAAAAATATACCAAATACTTTTAGTTTTGTTAGAACACTGGGGACATGTATTAATATTAAAAATTATAAAATAAACAACTCATAAGCTTTTAGATAAGAGAATAATTGCTAAATGTGCTTATTTTGAATTAGTATATACCAGTTTTGTAGGACTCATGGAGAATGTCTTCAACTTGTTCAGCAAAACCTAAATCTAACATTTGATCCACTTCATCAAGCACAACATGGCGCAGTTTAGAAAGATCTAATCGGCCGCTCTGCAGATGGTCTTTGATACGACCTGGGGTCCCAACCAAGATGTCAATACCATTTCGAATATGATTAACTGTGAGAGGAGAGAAATATCAGTAATATATAAAATTCAAATATAGATTTTCGCATCATACTTTTTTTATTTCAGTAGCAAATAGATCTTTGTGCTACCATCATATACAGTTACTCACTTTGGCTTTGATATGATGTTCCACCATAGAAACATGCCACACTGAGTTTCCTAGTTATATCTTTGAAGTCTTTGGCTACTTGGTTTGCCAGTTCCCTTGTAGGAGCCAAAACAAGTACCTGAGCAAAAGGTTTTAAAAACAAAAAGATAAATTTCTATAGATCTCTAAATTCAAACTGAGAGTTTTTAAGAAGCATTTAAAACTAGAAATCTCATCATTAATGTCATAGTATTTAAAGACAGAGCACAAACAATAACAAGGACGGCTTATGTTTATTATATCCTCCTTTACTTCCTTCTGGAGAAGGAAACGGCAACCCACTCCAGTATTCTTGCCTGGAAAATTTCATGGATAAGGAGCCTGGCAGGCTATAGTCCACAGGGTCACAAGACTTGGACACAACTTAGGGACTGAAAACCACCATTACTTCCTTCAGATCTCTTTTCAAAAGTCACTTTCTCAAAAAGATTCCTAACCTTCTTTTCATATCCTCCCAACCCTGATTAACTGTTTCTTTTTAACACTTATACCATATAAAATATTTATATTCTACATAATTGCTCACTGTCTATCTTGCCCACTAAAATGTAAGCTCCATGAAGGCAGGGATTTATGTCAGTATGAGCTACTATATTTCCTGGACTTCAAACAGTGCCTGGCACAAAACAGGTGCTCAAAAAATATTTGTTGAATGAATGAATGAATGTCCAACATGTGCCATTTTTTAAAAAGAAATAGTTCAATTTATTTAAATTGCAAGTAGCATATAAATGGAATTTGTAGCTAGCACCAAAGAATGGAGGGCTTCCCAGGCGGTGCTAGCAGTAAAGAGCCCGCCTGCCAATGCAGGAGTTGTACAGAGATGTGAGTTTGATCCCTGGGTAGGTAAGATCCCCTGGAGAAGGACATGGCAGCCCACTCCAGTAGTCTTGCCTGGAGAATCCCTTGGATAGATGAACCTGGTGGGCCATAGTCCATAGGGTCTCAAAGAATCAGACACAACTGAAGTGACTTAGCATGTACACACCAGAGAATGGACTTAACTGTTTGGTGTTTAATGAGAAGAGCTTCTTCTACACAGGATTCCAAGAGACTTACTTGTTTTATTAAGCAAATAAAACTCATGCTTCAAACAGGTTATACAGAAATTGATTTACACTTTGATTCCCTTTTTTTATATTTTGAAACTACAGATTTAACAAAAGGTAGCCATAACCTTTCAATGTACAGGGTCAATTATAATTATGCAAACAACAGTGCTTTACACAATTTCATTTAATCCTCACACACAAAAAAACCTATGATGTGGTATTATCTTCCCAATTTTACAAATGAGGAACATGAGTCTTAGAGAAATTGAGTCTCACCCAAGATCAAATAGCTAGAAGTGACAGAGTTGGAATCTCCAGTAACATCCTTCTAGCATGAAAGTTTTAAAGATAGTGTTGGGATTGTGTCCTATTTCTATTACTTTCAATCTTCCTAATTTCACCTAAGAAACAGAACTCTCTAAAAAAGATTTGTCCTGTTCCAAGACCATTATTATTTAATTATAGTCATATATGTGAATTTACTTTCACACTATTTGGGGATCCAAATAGGTGGCTGACCAGGGACTGAACCTGTGACCCCTGCAGTGGAACCCTGGAGTCTTAGCCACTAGATGGCCAGGCAAGTCCCAATACAGTTTTTTTTTTTTTCCTGCACTTTTATGAACCTGAAAGTGAACACAGGTTCTAAAAAGGCCAAAGTTTAGGCCAAAATTTCACTAGGTCCTCTCTGTTCTTTACTACTGATATTGTTAAGACAGATCTTCAGTATCATTTCTATAATACTCTAAGAGTCAATCAATAGAATAAATATTATTTACTGAATGACCAAATAAATTAATACCTCTAGCAAAATCACTGTTTAAAAGCAAAGGTTAGAAAAAAAGAAAAAAAGCAAAGGTTAGGACTGAAAAAAGAAGAAATTAGATATGCTGGCTTCATAATATACAGCTATCAAAGACATCTATGGATCCATAAACATTACATTCATATGCAATAACTCACTTTAGCTTCACTTGAGATATATCTTAAAAATCAAACGTCTGCTTTAGGCCCCAAATTTTTACTTTATGCCCCAGGAGTAACTTTTCTATCTTTGGGGCACTTGAACTTAAGACCAGTATACTGTTTCTTTTTCTTTTTTGGGGGCCATGTCATGCAGCTTGCAGGATCTTGGTTCCCTGACCAGAGACTGAACCAGGGCCATGGCAGTAGAAGCACCAAGTCCTAACCACTGGACCAGCAAGAAATGTCCAAGACCGGTATATTCTTTCTTTCTCTGTCCATTAGAGTAATGTATAAAACTTTTACTCCCTATAATGGTTACCTTTGGTGAGCGGCTTTTTTTAATTGTCTCTTGATTTCTTTGGAGTCTTTCAATCAAGGGGATGGCAAAAGAGAATGTCTTTCCTGTTCCTGTCCGTGCTTGAGCAATTAAATCTTTTCCTTCATATACAGGACCAAAAGTCTTAACTTGAATAGGAAAGAGATATGTTACCCCTCGACCTGTAAAACGAAATTTCATTGAAATATTTACTTAAGACTAGCATTAAGAAAAAATACAAAAAAAAAGAAAAAATACATTTATTTGAAATTAACATTTCTGATTCATCAACATGTGCCTAAAGATATACCACCTGGCAACATCTACAACTATCCCTACCCCAAAGAGGAATTATTTAAAAATTGGTCTCAACTTTAAACGAATACATTTAATTCTTTGTTAAAAACTGATCAGAATACCCAAAAAATGATGTAGAAATAACTGCAATTATAAAAGCTATTTCTCTGTTTTGTACATTTTTCTCTGGGTCAGAAAAGGTATAAGAGTTTTCTAAAATCTAGTTTTAGATTTTCAATTGCATATGCATTAAAATTCATTGTACCTTTCAGAAGCTTTATAGTCTCTTCAGAAATAGGGAAATTGGAGAAGGCTCCTTCTTTCTGTTCACGTGTTAGGGTCTGTCAAAATGAAATCAAAGTTCTAATACAGTTCATATCCAACTAGGTATTTAGAATCCTTCATGCATTTACTGCTTTTAGTTTTACTAAAGGAGCTAGCAAATCAATTTCTAGTTAGTACTTGCAAAAACTGTAACTTACAAGATAAATTAATGGGAAATTCTTTTTAATCTCAAAAGTATCCCTTTAAACATCAAGCTTATTTAATAATTTTCCCATAAAGCATTTAAAAATTATTAACTCAGACATAAAACTTCCTTTAGACATACACTTACTACACAAATCAAAATATAATTCCACTTGACTAAGATATTACAGAAGAGTTATTCAATAACTCCATATTCACAGATATAGATAGTATTAATTACAAGATTAACACCAGACTATAAGCCAACCTCTAAAGAAACTAAGCAACGAGGAAACTAAGTTGTTTCTAAAAGTTAAGTTGTTCTATGAATCTAAAGAGCATATTTTAGTTCACTCATACAAGGAAAAGTTCCTGTAAGCTTGAAAATTTCTCTAACATATATATACAGGTTATACATATACATATTATAATTTAACATCTATTGAAAACTTTGTATATTAGTCAATGTATATATAAAACAAAGACAATATATCTACTTTATAAACTTTAAGATTAAAAGAAAAAAATTTACTACAAAAATAATACATTTTCATTGCAGAAATTTTAGAAACCACATATTAATAGAAAGACATTTCAAAGTTATCTGCAATCTGGTCAGCTAAAACCAAATTTGAAACACATACTTGTCCAATCCTTACTCTATGCATATATACATTTTAAAATTAAATAAATCATACTGTACACACTATTTTGTAATCTGCTTTTTTTTGCATTTAATAAGATAGACTGAATATCTTTTTAAAATACTTATGCTCTCTAGAATCAATGCATTCTATTGCAGGAATATAGCAACATATTATTAAACTGATTTGCCTACTATCAGATATTTAAGATGTTTAAATTTTTTGCTATTATCAACATCACTGTGATAAGATACTGATTCACCCAACTAGGCACACCTCATGATTATGTCTTTAGAAAGAAAACTCCTAAAAGTAGAATTCCTGAACTCTAACATAATCTAAACAAAATAATAAAGTTAAGCCTATTATAATACAGAGCAGTATAGCAGGCAAAAATCCCAACACAGCAAGATGTATATTCCACTACTGAGCAACTCAGATTTGCAGGGCCTTCCTTAGATCAACTTTCTAACAGATGTGCTTCCTGACAGATAGCAAACTCACAAACTGCAGGAGACACTGTAAAGCAAGGACTCAACATCTTCTCTCAAAGCTTCCCAAAGATAGCACATTCAGTTCAAATGTATCTAAATTAACAGCAACTATCAGATTTCTTAAATATAAAGAATACTAAGTATCAAGTTATTAAGCATCTCAAAGTTGTTTCTTTCTGAAGATCTGAATGATTTACTGACAATTTATAATACCTAGATAAACCTATGAACTCTGCTAGAAGAACATACAAATTGAATAAATTCAGTGCAAGAAAATACCTACACTAACAAATACTGATAAAAGCAGTGACCCAGGAATGAAGATTCTATACTAAGCATGTTTTCTATACCTCCCCCCAAAATTAATACCCAGGAGAACAGAGATCTTCAGATCATTTGTATATGTGTCATTTCTGCTTACAAATAGCAAACAGCTCTAAGACTGAATTACAATAAGACCTAAAAATCATTTAAAGTTGCTATTGTTACAGAAGTACAATAATAATAAGGCAAAATATACATTATCAAGAAGACTGTTATGTACCCTGTTTTCAGAAAAGTCAGAATTTAATTGTACTGGCAAGGACTGAAATAACCACAAGAATACAAGTAGGTGACCATCAATAAGCAATTTGGAAAATCTATTTAGGAACCCAATGTACAGGAAAGGTTTAAATTTGACCACCACTCCTTCTCCACCAACCTCTGCACCAAGAAAAAGGTAATATAATGAAAAAAAACACAGGAAAAAAGGCTCAGGTTTCAGCTCTATAGAGCCCCCAGTCCAACTGAGAGTATTGGATATTAAGCAGGAAATATTATAGAATCAATTCTAATTAGTCTATAAAAATCAAATTATCCTATATTTCAAGAATAATGTCAAATGCAAAACAAAAAATATCCATACCTCTTCTAGTTTATTATCACTTGATTTATGAGTAGAACTATTTAAAGATGACACTCGCTTTGATTTTTTTTCATGTTCATCAATATCTCCATTTGATAGATCTTTTCTTCTTGGCTTATGAGATTTAGAAAATTCATCTGAAAGTCTATCACATCCTTCCTCGGTGTCACCATTTAGCTTCTCTTTAATTTTAGCTTTTTTGGGTTTGGGAGCATCCAAGTCATCTGTAACACCGTTTTCTCTTGTTTCTGATTTCTCATCTGAGTCATAATGGTGCCTTGACTTCCTTCTATCACTCTGTGGAAAAACAAAGAAGCAGTGACAGGAGGATCACAAGGTCTGCTTTTAAGACTCTAGAGAAGTTCGAGTATGACTCCCCACAACCAGCAAAGCTCAATTTATCACAATCTTAAAAAGTTAGCTGCTAGAATTCTAGACTAGTTGCTATCCATTGTTTTCTTTCTCATCCCAGCTCTTGCACTCTTAAGACTTGGCCTCTAGTCCCTCTCTAATCCCATTATAACATTTAAGGGAAACTGAAATAATTCCTTTTCAGTAAAAGAATGAGAACCCAAGACTATAAATTAAAAAGCAGAAATTTCTAATATCTTCAAGAAAGAAATTAAGATTTATTGAGTACCTACCCAACACTGTGTAAAATGTTTTCAGCTTATCTTGTTTAAATCTTCACAACAACCCTATAAGGGAAGTACAGGTCCATAATCCCTTATCCGAAATTCCGATATCCATAATGCTCTGAAAACCGAAAGTTTTTTTGTAACTTATTTGGAGACAAAACCTTATCTGACCTCAAGTCATTTTGTGGCAAAATTTGACTTCAAAAAACATAAAACTATTTATAATTTTTATTTATTCCATTCAATATGAACATTCATATTTAACATTAAAGTGTTTGATTACAGGTTGGGGGCCCCAAACTCTACTGAGGTGTTACCCTTTTAAAAATCCCCGGAGTTTTGAATTCCAAAACTAGCCTCAAGGATTTTGGATAAGGGATAGGGAACCTGTATTAGCTCTGCCATTTTACAGATGAGGAAACAAGTTCTCAGATACAAGTAACTTGCCAAAGACCCACATATGGGATTTCCTGCAAGTGAAAGTCCTATTTGACTTGAAAGCCCATGCTCTTTTCACATCATGCTTCCTCTCTGAACTCTGATAAACAGAGACCAAAGTATGCAATTTATATAAAACCATGATTGTTAATACTCCTATGGAAGGACAACTGTATTAGTAATCCCAGAAATTTTTTTAAAGTTTTAAAAATCTGGATAACAGAAAAAAAAAAAAAATTGGCTAACAGGACTTACAAAGGGGGAAAGGAGGTGGCTTTCTGCAACTTTAGTTTTGAAATGCCAAGCTAGTAGCCAGCGTTTTAATATTGGCAGACAGCAAGAAATGTTTTGGAAATTCAGCACTTCAAAATTACTTGGTCAAACGTTCAAAATAAATTACATAGTAATAACTTGTCTTGTTAAAAACTACCACCACCAAAATATTTCACCATGATTTACAGTTTTTATACAGAATACTTTCACGTACAAGCTTCTCATCCATAAAATAAAAGTTGCTATGAAAAATGAATAACATATATGAAAATGCTTTGTAAACATTAGAGCTTTACGTTAATACAAGCTATACAGTTATATGTTACATCATTTGATCTTTAGTTAACTGAACTAGCCCACATCTCATCAAACCAATAGGTTCTATAGAAAAACAAGATTATTTATAGACCCAGCCTTGGGGTTTGAATTGCTCCTGGGCCCAGCACTTCAGGGAGATGAAGCAAGGTAAAATGAGACCTGAAGGTCCAAGCCTGCAAAATCACAAGGTGATGAAATACACTGTTCCATATCAGATCCACTGTGCTCAACATTCTCCACTTTCTTGGCTTCCAAGACACACAATATCCCCTCTTTACTCTCTTACCTCTATCTTCTTCGATGTTTTCCTCTTTCTCCTTTTGTGGATGCTTAAGTCTCTGTTCTTTATGTACACTTTCATGCCATTTTCATGGCTTCAACATACATTTCCAGGCTTCTTTCCTAACCTGCACTCCAATTCTGAGAACCTAAGGCCCAGCTCCGTATCTCAACACATCCAAACCCAGTTCATCTCAGTGCCAGACCACTATCTGAATGCTCTATTTCTATTAGTTGGTACTCTGTTTCCAAATCTTTCATTATCTCTCATAACTAAAGGAAAATCAATGAGTACATCTGGAGAAACTACAATGTGAAAACTACCAATTTACAAAGATAAAGTGAAATACAAGCCTGGGCAAAGATATGGTAATTTCCCTCAAGAATCTTTGGGAAATTTGGGGGAAGGATACACACAGGAAGAATGAGCTAACTTTTACAAGGAAGTGCATAATAAATGCTAATCAAATTATAAAGCCAGCACTGGAACAAGACTTTAAGGGGGAATGAGATTACTGTATGTGTACACTGGAGTGGTTGTAACAGACACAAACTGAACTTTGACATATGGACAGGATATGGATGCAAAATGAGGGACAAGTATTTTTGGAGGAGCAAAAACTAAAATAACTGCTTGATCGATTTCACTTACAGGAGTTATCTAGAGTAGTCAAATGCATAAAGACAGAGAGGAGAATGGTAGATGCCAAAGGCTAGGGAGACAGGGCAACTGAGGAGGTTGATGTTTAATGGGCACAGAGCTTCAGTTTGGGAGAATGAAAAGTTCTAGAGATCAATGAAGATGACGTCTGCAAACAAATGTGACTGTTACTTACTGCTACAAAACTATATACTTTAAAACAATTAGGGATTTCCCTGGTGGTCCAGTTGCTAAGACCCAACGCTCTCAACACAAGGGACCTTGGCTCAACTCCTGGTTGGGAAACTAGATCCCACATGCCAGGGCAGCCAAAAATAATTAATTAATTTTAAGAAGTAAATGTAAATTTTATGGTACGTGTATTTTGCCACAATAAAAAATAAATAAATAAATAACTGCTTGGCTGGAATGGCAAGTCTACCTTGTTGACAAGGTCAGAAGGGTAGGGTCGGCTTTCTGGAGCTATGCAGAGTATTTTTCATTCTTTGGTCAAGTGTCAGGCTTCAAATATTGCTTCGTACCCTCCAAAGCTCCGTTTCCTTTTCTCTAAGTCTCTTGAGAAGTGGGGCGGGAAGTCTCTGCAACTCTTTTAACAGACTCCTTGAGGGCAGGGACTTTCTTGGTGCCCAGCAAAGTCTGGTATAAACTAGGCTCAATAAATATTTGTGAATTGAATGAGAACACTAAGAGAAAAGACTATTAATAATAATAGCAATAACAACAAGAGTAATAATAATAACCCACATGATCTCCATCAGCCAAATCCTGGCAATGTTGGCTGTAACATTTTCCTCAATCCTCTATTGACCCGTTATCGAGGTTTGTAAAGCTAAGATCGCTTTCCCCAAGATTCTCGCATACAGGACAGGATGACGGAGAAGTTACACATATTCAAGGCAATCGTTTTTCTTAAATCATCTTCTAAGACGGCCAACGAGAACCAAACGACAGGCCTCGCTGCTTAAGAAGAGGAAAGAAATGATTCCGCGATGAAAACTTGAGTCTGCCCATCTCTTAGGCGCCGACGGGAAGGACTGGGGGACCACGGGAGGCTGGGCCAAAGCCCAGTGCTGCCCTTCTCCGGCTGGGGATGTGGAGGTTGGAATGGTTCCAGAGCGACCTCCCAGGAACGAGGCCGGCGCGAGGAGAGGCCCTCGGATGCTCCGGCCCGGTTGGTGACAGACCATCAGGGAGACTTCCCTCCCCGCCCAAGCCGGCGCTGCCCAGGAGGCGCGGCCCATCCTCAGCGCACCTTTTGCCTCTCCTTCCTCTGGCTCTCGGTCTCCTCCAAGGGTGCCTCCAGCTCCATAATGTCCCCCCAGAGGAGTTTCCCAGGCATCATTCGCCTCCACCGCTTGCTGCCGCCTCCCCCTGGGCACGGTGGCCACAACCACCTACAGGCAGCGACAGCGTGAAAGGAAGCGGGGGCTGGACGGCCTCCCGGCCAAGGCCGTGCGTCATTTCCGTAACACGCATCGCACGGCGGGGGAAAATAATCCCGGATACTCCCAGTTTAAACTCCTTCCTTGCGACGCCGTCTCCCAGCCAATCAATGCTAAGAGTCTCGACTGACCCACCCTTATTCTGAAATGATTGGCTTCTAGAGTAAAACCCTGACCAATCGCCATAAAGGATACCCGAACTGATTAGCATTAAATGTTCGGCATTTTTTTTTCCCGCTTTCTCTCCCCCTCCCCCACTCGGAACTCCTCGTAGCACAGCGGAGATGATTTGGAGCTTCCCAGCGTGCAGTGCAAGCTTTGGGGAGAACCCCAACTGCGGTGGAGCGTGGCTCACAAGAGCGACTGGCTGAAGGGAGGACATGCCCGTGCCAGAGCTAAGCCAACGCCACGCGTCGCGTTGCTTTTCGCCGCCGGAAGCTGACAGCCGCGGCCCCGCCCACTGCGGAGTGAGGCGTTAACGTCTAACGGCTACGCGCGAAGCCAGCCGCCTAGCGTTGGTGGGAAGGGGCGTTGTGGGGTCTGCAACGGCGTAGGTGGGCTTGGATTGAAGGCCAGGGCCGAGCAACCTTCCCGCAAGGTTTTAGTTGTGAAGTTAACCCTTTGTTCATTTTAGGGCCTTCCCACCTTACCCTTTTGACATTAGAGGAAACTAACCCCCTAAGGGGCTCCCTGGTGGTTCAGTCGGTGAAGAATCCGTCTGTAATGCGGGAGACCGGGATTCGATCCCTGGGTTGGGAATGTCCCCTGGAGGAGGGCATGGCAACCCACTCCAGTGTTTTTGCTTGGAGAATACTGATGGACAGAGGAGCCTGGCGGCTGCAGTCCATGTATCACAAAGAGTGGGACACGACCGAACGACTAAGCATACAACCCCCTAAGAGGGATTAATTTTGCTTAAGTCACACTATCAGTGGCACAGTGAGGACTAGAGAGCTCATCTCCTGAATCCCAGATCTTTGCTTTCTCTGCCACACCAGTCTGAAAGCTTTGAGTTTACCAAAACGTTTTGGGAAAGATGTTCCCATGAAACAGAATGAATAATAGGGAAAATCTGGAGAAATCTAGGAAAGAAACAAGCCTAAAATGTCTTCGACAGCTTATGTATTTGCAATGGATAAAAGGATTTTACTTACGGGGATTAACTGACCATGAGTTACAACCTTCAACAAAAGTGGAAACCTTTTGATAATACAAAGGGCTAACTCTTTGGCATATACCTTTTCTTACATCACTGGTGCTAGCTTGTTTCTGACTTTCTTTTTATCTCTTCATGAGCTCATCAACCTAGCTACTCTTGAGTGGAGAAAAGACAAATTGAGATGTAGGTGGAGGGGCACTCACAAACCTTTTGACAATGTCTAGCACACCAGCTTTTTAACATGAGTATCAAATTTAAGTCTTTGCAACATTTCAATTTGCTACATGTTCCCGAAGAGTTGGACAAGACTGAGCATCTGAACTGAACTGACATATCCTAGAGTTTGATTATTCATCCTGAATAGCTGAAACCCCAAAGATAAATCTGTGATTGCTACAGGTCTTCTGTATAATTATGGGTTGGCCTGAAATCAGGGGCTATATGTTTATCTAAAGTGACCATATGGAGTCAGTAATGTTAACTGAACAACTAGTGGGTTGTTCAGTTGATGGTGAAAAAATGCTTCTCTCTCCCTAAATCATAATAGCTATGCATCTCTGGTGCTTTTCTAAAACCTTTATGTCCCACTCTCACACCCACTCCCAGTTCTACCACTGTGAAGTCTTTTTAGCCCTACAACAAGGTATGATGTGCATAGAAACACAGGAGTGGATGGGACTAAGAATGTCACGTGCAAAATTGGGATAATCCTAGGAATAGCTGTTATTATGGTTGAAAATCAAATACAGATAAAATAAGTCTTTAGCGCCTCAACTATTATTGGCATTCATTGTTATGTTGGAGGTCATACAACAGGTCTGAAAAAGGACTAGACTGTTCGACACTCCCTAAGCAAGAGACTAATAAGTATATTAGTATTTTTTAGAATGACCTTATATGATTTGGGACACTTTACAAACCCTACCATTCTAAGCACTAAACTCATTGAATCAAAACTATGACTGCTGTCTATGTCAGGTGGAGAGGGCTACTGTGAGGAAATTAAACTTGAGTCATAAATAACTTGACCAAAGTGTGGCTTAGCTGAAAAAAATTGGAGTACCACTACATATGTGTTCTCAGTGGGCATCAAACGAAAATGTTGGGAATGGAGATGACGGAATGGATAATTCTTTTTTTCATATTTGGTCTCTTATAAGTCTCAAAATATTTATACAGATGATGAAATTTATTGAGGGGAACACAAAGGGGGTAGAATGAATAAAATGTACAAGTAACTCAAAATGTAGTATTACTAGAACATCTTTGTTTTCCAAATATTTTGCCAGAGTTCCTGATACAATTTCTCAAAATTTGAGAGTCGGAGTGCCTCATCTGTTGCTCTGTTGTGTAACATTCCATAAGATTTTCCTTGCCTTGGTTTTGGCTCATTAAACTCTATAAAAACAAGATGTTTATAAACTTGCCTCTCTCTCTGGTCTTTCTCAAACCTTAGTGGGCTAGATTTTTATTTTTATTTCATAGAAAGTAGAGGGTAAAAAGAACCATTTGCCATCTTCATGTCAAGATTATGTGAGAATTGAACCACCATTTTAAAATGTTAGGACATGGAAATAGTTTAAGGGACAGCTACAAATGGATCAAGAGATGTTGAAGGCAGAGGTTGAGGAGAGTACTAAGAAGTAAGAATATGAAAGGGAACAGAAAAGGTGGTTTCTACCATTGCTAGCCACATGACCTTGGCCAACTGTAAAACCTGGTTTTTTGTTAGTAAAGTAGGGGCAAAATGCCTTTCCTGCTGATAGTTCAAGGAATTGGGGGGATCCCCTGATATAACAATACAACAGAGATGATGTACAGAGGTACTTCTATTTCTTTTAGCTTCGGGTTTTGACATTGTTGGCAAGGAGACAGCTTTGAACATATTTATTTAGCACATGTATACTTATATATGTATCTAGCTCATAATTCAAATTATTTAGGAAAGCTTTTTAAAGGTTTAACCTATGGAAGAAGGTCTGTTTCTTTAGTCAATTACTTTGTAGAAGCTTTGAATCAAACTTTCAATCAAACTTGAGTAGTCAGTCAGTTTCTTCAGAAGAGGGCACCATTCCCCAAGAAATGGAATAGCTACTGCTAACCCACTACAATGCCAGACACCAAGGTTCAATTCCTGGGTCAGGAAGATCGGCTGGAGAAGGGATAGACTGCCCACTCCAGTATTCTTGGGCTTCCCTGGTAGCTCAGCTGGTAAAGAATCCATCTGCAATGCGGGGAGACCTGGGTTCAACCCCTGGGTTGGGAAGATCCCCTGGAGAAGGGAATGGTTACCCACTCCAGTATCCTGGCCTGGAGAATCCCGAGGACTGGATAGGCCATGCGGTAACAGAGCACACAGCTGTGACTTTCACCTTCACCACTGAAAAGGGAACACATTTCTAAGATTTCAAGTGAGACAAGATCTGTAGAGGTCAGCAAGATAGTCATGAGTTTCTTTCTGATGTATCCTTTGGCCATTCTCGTTTCACGACTCTCATGTCTCACCCACACTCCTTTTAGGCAGTAGTCTGTCTTCCCCCTTCCTTAAACGCTTTCTCGGGTAACTGTAGGATGGATTCTCAAAATGCAGTTGATCCCAGTTTTTTCCCTGCTACTGCTCTTTCTACTCTTCCTCATGGAGCTGACACTGTGAAATATTCTGCTAAATATTTAGCAGTCTGCTAAACTGCATTTAGTAATAATTGATTCATGATTATTCTAATAAAAGAATAAGATACAAATGAAGCTTAACAATGTCACACCAGCATGTGATAGGGTTGCATTACTGAGCAGGTGTAATTTTAGCCACTGGCAAAGAAACTGATATTTCAGTTAGCAAGGAGTTAGGCAAAGGGTATGTATGGTTCCTGTTAGGATTATTTAAATACTGAAAATTGTTTACAGAAGCCAGCTACTCTGAGGATTCCAAGGGATCTGAGATCCCAAATGAAAGAGGAGAAAGAACATGATCTCACATTATGTGACAAGCCACAATAAGTCCATGCTTTGCATGTTTTAATCCTATGTATAGCATAAGGAATTAACTGAAAACTTGTTAGCCAGAAGCATAATACTTCCCCCAGGAATATCTGGATTTTGCTTAATGATACTTTTCTATAATCTTAAAGGACTGAATCTCTAAATGAAGGATTTCCAGACAGCCTTACAAAAACAAGAGACCTCTATAGTAGGCCATGTATAGATGAGTTTTGTGAATAAATATACAAAAACACATACATATATTTGTAACAATTAGTAGGTGCCTCCTGCTTTGGGCACTTTAAATAGATTCTTCTCAAATCTTACAACAATTCTTATAAGGTATATATTGTTACTATCTTCCTTTACAGATGAGAAAAAATGAATTAGGGAAGCTTGGTAACTTTCTCCATCAGACAGCTATGAAGGATTGGAATTACAATTTAAACTTATCTGACTCCTAAACTCAGGTCACCGACGTTGTTTCAAGAGAACAGTTTTCTCTCAGCAAACAGAAGTGGGAAAGAAGATCATTAAGCAAAATTTCCACACACAAAAATTAATAGTGGGAAAAAAATTCAAGTCACCCACTGTAGAGAATAATCTCCCAAACAAGAATTTAAGAACATATACACTCGTCTTTAATATCTGTGGTCATATGTTGTGTTTTACAGAAGGGAGGTTTACTGGTTTCATAATGGGCTTCATTTAATACATTTAGAGAGTATCAAATGTATCTGACAAAACTAGATAGATTTCATTGGTCCCTAGATGTGGCCAGAGTCACAAAAGACTTTGGATCCCCCACTGTATTAAGAAAATTGTCCAGGTCCAAGATCACAGAGAGTAGTTGGTACTCCTTTTACCAAGGATTGGTAGGGAAAGTGCAGACATGGAGACCTGGATGCAGTACTTGGGAATTTTGAGTGAGTTCAAGACTTCACAAGATCCTCAGTGAATCTTTTTTCCCCTTTTTTAAAAAACTGGATATATTTTTATATAATTCACGCTACTGTTGGAAAGAATCTTCAAAATCGTCTAGTTCTATCATACTTTTAAGAAAAGTACTGGAAATAACCTCTACAACATACCCATCAAGGGATCACGAAGCCTCTGCTTGAATGTTCTAAATGGTGGGAAGTCCATTTGTTTACAGAGTTGCCTACTTCATCTTCAGATAGTTTTATCTAATAAATTCTTCATAATGAGCTGAACTTTTTTTTTCTTAACTTCCATTCACTGGTGCTGACTCCAAGCTGTAGTAAGACCCCCTAAATCTTTGCCTCCCCCACAGGGCTTTTCTATCCAGATAACCTTTGGTACTTTGCCCAGGGTTTTTTAATACCCCAGTGACCACAGTTAATCTTGGAATGCCATGGTAGATTGGTCAGAGCCGCGAAAACCAACTGTCAGGAGTGAGTGGTCCAACCACAGTGAAACAGGGGTGCATCTGATCTCAGGTCTTCTGCACTTTCACAGGGCCTGGAGGCAGCTTGCCATAGTGCTGAGCTTCATCATTCTGGCCTTCACTGTTACCTGGATGGTGAGAGCTGGAAAGTATTCTCTATTCAATCATCCTTGAGCTCTAAGGCTTTTGATAATCTTTAGAAACCTCTCAGAAGAAACATCCCCTCACCTGTAAGTCAGTATTACTATCTACCAAACATGCTGAAACCAGTCTTGACTTCTCCATGTGTTTCCTAAACCCAAAAGAACTGACTTCTACTACTTGGTCTGAAAAGACCTGACAGAAAAAATTCTGGCGAGGCTATGTAGGTCTTATATGATGAAAAAAAGGATCAAATGTAGAAAATTATCTATCAGCCATCTTCCATCTTTTCTCTAAATCTCTTAATTCAGAATCTCCCTTTTACTCACAAGCCATCCTGCTTCCCTTCTATCTCCACCACTGAGAACATCCTGACTTCTCAAAGCCATTTTATGGAGAGCCTCAAACATGGGGAGAAGCCAGAGAAACAGTTGAGCCATATGCCTGCTGCCACAGGTATTTCGGATATTGTCATTCAATTACAGTGTACAGCCATTTCCTCATGTTAAAGCTGGTCACAAAGAATATCCTTGGCAGCAATGATTGGATAGAAGGAATTCTTGTTGCAAAGTACCAGTACCCAGTACATTTATATAAATTCTTGCTGATGATAAAAGGCTTTAGTTGCAAACAAAGTATCTATGCACCTAAAACACTATTTTCTAGAGTTAAGTGTTGAAATCTGGTGAGATCCACTTACCATAAACACTCAGCATTGATGTGAGTACAGAAATTCACTACTGGGTAGTAAATTAGCATCTTATGTATTTGAAAAACTAATAAATGTCTTCTGATAGTCAAGTTAATTACATTTTATTAGGAGAGCAATTATTCCATGTTTGTAAACTATATGTCCCCAATAAATTTATAATAAGCTTCAAAAAAATCAATGTCCAAAAAGGAAAAAAGCCAGCTAACTACAACAAAATATGTAATGAGATTAATAACATATATGTTTGGCTTTAGAGAATTCTTACAAATTCAGTTGATTAAAACACTATATATTAATGCTGTACATTTTTACAAGAGTTTCAAAAACAATAAGAATTAAACATTTATCACTGGAGTTAGTTGTAGTAAGGAACTGGATGTAAGTGTTTGACTGCTCTTTGTGCCTTCGAAGTTCTGCAGTAAATTTTGTCTTCTTTTTAGTCCATCCAAAATGACTGAATTATTAGATGCCAGACTCTGTGTCCTAGAGATATTAAAAATAACAGAATTATTGCCTTTAAAAGGATTTCTAACCAAGGCATTATATCTTCATTTGTTACTCTTTGAAGCAGTACATTTACTAACAGGAACTAACTTATCAAGTAAGTTAACCTTTCAAACTCTAAAGTGCTCTTTACATTTTAAAGGATTTCCAAAAGCAATTCAAGTATTTGACAGCTGCTTTCTAAGAAGTTCACATTTTCTAAACATCTGTTCTTAGACCTAGTATCAAGTATATTCTAGTCAGAAATAGTAAGCTCCCTGAAAAACTCTTCTATATAACTGCAGTGACCAGCATCTTCTTGTGTAACTTGTTTCTTTTTTGAAAAGTCATATGGTAGAGAAAAGCCAACTATAATATTTTTCATGTTGACAATGATTCTCTCCTAAGAGCTGTATGCTATGTCAGTCCCTTATTCAACATACCTGCCTTAGCCAACTCACATTATTGGTTTGGCATTTTGCTTTTGACAGTCCCTTCTCCCACCTTGCCTCTTCTCCCTCTCTTGTCTATTACATCTAGATGTCTCAAAAATGTGTCTTTCCCACACATCACTCTTAATTCCACATCTCTTTGGCAGTTATGAAGAGTTTGCACTTTGGTGTTTGTTCATTTGTTGGCCTTTTTGACTAAGTTGTAAGCTTCCTACAGGCAGCAACAATACCTTGTTCATCTTTGTCTCCCTAATCCTCATAACAATTATAGCACACAGTTGATGTCCAAATGTTATTTCCCCTCTCTTTTTCTATAAGTGTCTTTAATGATTATAGTTATAATAAGTCTTTCCAGAAAACCACATTATAAGCAATTTTTAAAAATTCAGTTTCTCAGAGGCTTCCTTGGTGGTCCAGTAGTTGAGACTCCATGCTTCTGCAGCAGGGGACATGGGTTAGATCCCTGGTAGGGGAACTAATATCCTGTGCAAAAAAATTCTCAATTGCAAGTCAATTTCTCCTCTCTGTTTTGGGTTTGTTTTTGGTTTTGTTTTTGCTTTTGCCAGAGAGAGAAAAAAAAGTGAACCCATGGGTTACTGGTTCACACCACCATTGTTTACCTCAAAGACAGCATGTTTTGATACTTTAATTAGACAATATAAACTACTATTTCAAGCAGAAAGATCTTGGATCTTGTTTCCCAATAAAGTAGATATGTTTAAAAAATGCAGACTCCCAGGAATTTAGCCGAAGTTATAATCAAGAATGTCTGCAAACATTTATATAACAACAATTTCCTACAGATTGAGTTATTAAAGCAAAAAATTGGGAATAATTGAAATGTCAAAGGAAGGAAAATAATGGTTGTATAAATAACAAGAGTCCACATAATACTAAGTAGCCATTTTTTAAAATGAGCTGGATATATATGTATTGATCGCAAAATATCTATGATAAGTTAGGTGAAAAAAGAAAGCCACAGCTCTTGTACAATCTGTTGTTAGAAAATAATTATAGTTATAAATGCATGGGGAAAAGTCTGAAAGATATATGGCAAACTGCTAAGAATATTTGGGTCACCTCCTTGGAATAGGAATGGAAAAGGCTGGGAAATGGAGACTTCTAGTTTTACTTTTCTGTATTACTTTACTGTTTCAAAAGGAGGTACACAATTTAATAATAAAACTAATGTATATATACCAAATTTTAAGATGACTTTTTAAAAAACTAATAATATGGAAGTGTTCATTATATTCTATTGAAAAAGCAACATGCAAAATAGTAACTATAGTATGAGTCCAATAGACAAAATATACAGATCAATACGTTCAGACAGAAGTGTTAGAAATACACCAAATATAAAAAGGATCTTTAAAATATCTAGATGTTAGAGTGATTACGGGTGTCTTTTAAAAATAATTTCAGGGACTTCCCTGGAGGTCTATTCCTAGTTCAATGCCGGTTCAATTTCTGGTCAGAGAGCTAAGATCCCACATTCTCCATGACAAGGCCACAAAGAAAGAAAAAAAAAACACTTTTCAGTATTTCTCAAATATTCTAGTATGACCAAATTATATTTATACTCTGAGCAATGTCATTTAAACAAATTGGTTTGGAAAAGATTAGTGAAAAATAGCTACATCTCTATCTCATATTGTATAGAACCAGGACTGTAAGTGAAAATTTCCAACCGTCACTTCAGGAAGTGTTTGGTTTATGGTAGTTCCTTCCTATCTTTAGAAATAACTCAAGATTTTAGTAGTGGAACAGTGGAACAGTCAAATCTTGGTTCAGATTAAAAATGAACTCTATCCTATTGTGTAAGAGTTTCACTATAACTTCATATAATTGATTCAGTAAAGGCTGGCAGAACTGCATTATTATAAAAAGATTATGCAGGAGTGTCCCACTAGATAACTCAATATGCCCTTGATTTTAATAATTCCTGTGGTTTAGTGGCTAGTCACTTATACGTGCACTTACCGTGGAGAATCTATTCCACTATCTCCTGTCAGGCTCTGATTTTCTGTTCCTTCCAAGTGACTGTGTTCAGGTTGGACATCCTGAGCCAACACTGGCATATGTGAAGTGTTGAAGAGTTCCACCTTGTGTGTGAACTGTTTTCTCATTTCCTGACTCTGAGCACTTTGACTCCAGCTAACTGGTTTCTCTCCTGTGTCATCAACGGAGCCTTGTAGGGCTTCGGCCTCAGAAGTGGCTTTCCCTGTGTTGCAGTAATCAAATAGACTTCCACCGTCAGGCACTGAGGCCTGTCCATGTTCAGCTACACTGGGTTCCTCCTCATAGTTAAAACCAGACTGGATTCCTAAATTGAGGATACAGTTTTCAGCAGAAAGGTTGGGTTTTTGGCTTTCACCAGGGTTAGTGAGCTTGTAATGTTCATTTCCTTTAAGCACCTGAGGCTCAAACCTCCGTATGTTGCTGTCATACTCAGTCAGAGACCTTCCAGTCACCTTCTGTTTTCCTAAGTGATTCCACTTGTTTCCCTCTGGAAAGGAAAACTGAATGTGGTCAGGCAGCATTTGAATTAAGTCATCATTCTCAGAAAAGTCATCCTCATCCAGATAGAGTGAACTGCAGGCCCCATCTTCACCTTCCACTTCATTCTGATACAAGGCCTGGTCATCATCAGAAAGCCCTTCATTTTCTAGACACACAGTCTGTGCTTCTTGGACACATGTCTTTCCCATCAGAGTTTCTTTAGAGTCTCGGTCTTGTCTCTCAGTTTGTCTCAAATGTTTTGCACCAATTGGGTAATCCAAAAGACCAAGATTTTGGAACTGGTATATTGTATTGTCAACTAATCTACAAGCAGAGGATGCTTGGTCTAAAGAAGAGGACCTTCCAGATGGCAGGACATGCTGTGTTTCTTCTGTCTCTTCTAATGTGTCAAAATGAGAATAACTCTTCCTTGAGACTTCAGGGATCGCCTCATTTTCTCCGCCATACACATCGCATCTCAACATGCTTTCCCTGAAGGAGCAGCATTTACTACCATTTTGTAAAACATTACATTGAGAGTAATTTAAGAGGTGGTCTCTAAAATCATCGCTGATAGATTTGACAGTAGAGTGATTCACATAAGTGGATCCTTCTCTCAGTATATCATTACACTGTTCACCATATAGCTGTTTGGCTTCACTCTCAAAGATTCTTGAGGAAACCAAAGACCTTGACCTTTCGAAAGGCTTTCCCTTTGGTCCAGTCTGACTGGGTTCCAAGTCACTGGTCTTCTGGATGCTGTGCACTTTGGTTATTGGGCTCCCTCGGGGAGCCAAACCCTGGAAAGGATTACTGATTCGCTTTTTGTAAATCAAATGGGGACCTAGTGCTGAAGGATTCTCACCAAGTGGTTTCTGAAGTACTGCTTCATTTGGGCTTTCAATATTGGAGGTAGGCTGTGTAGCAGGGAGCTTGGGGTGTTTCTCTAGTCTAACATTTCCCGGCTGAGGCCCACTTCCCTGACCCCTGGCTTTGTGTCTGTCCCTATGCGAATGGCCCTGCCTTCGAGGTTTTACAGACCAGCCCTGCCTTTTCTTAACTCCCACTTCTGAAGAATACTTATGTCTCAGTGTCGGCATATCAGTGGATGTACCCTGGCTATTATTTTTCTTTTGTTCTTCATCCTTTTGCATTAGGACAGTATGTTTGATTAAGTTGTCAACAGTTAGAATGGGATTAATTCGTTTGATTATCTCATGTTCAATGTCTCGAGGGATATTGTCCATGTTATCTTCATCTCGGACGGGCCATTCTTCTGGTGGGAACTGGGCAGAGAAACTGCTGTGCGCTATTCTGGACTTCTCCTTTCTGGATATATTGCGCCAGAAGAGGTTAAAGCCAAACTTCTTGGCTTTTTCTCTGTCTTTTGTGTGTGGCAAAGGTTTGATACTCTCACAGACGTGATTCTCCTCAGACACTGAAACTGCTTGGTTGTGCACCAAAGATTTGGATTCCACAAGCCCTTTCTGCCCTTTGCTAGTTACTTCTGCAGCAGCTGGTGACTGCTGGACATCCTGAGCGCATGCATCGAGGAAACACCGGCAAGAATGGCAATGGGAAACGAGGGCTGCATTTTCTCTGGCTAACTCTGCACAGCTGCCCATGTTCACCAGATATGTAATGGAAGTTGGCATCTGGGAATTTTCATCTGACAGAACTCTCTTGTTTTCTTGGGGGGTTGTATTTGTGATGAAGTAAGTCTGAGGAGTAACTATGAAGTATCCTTCTCCAGTATGATAAATCTTCCGTTCTTTAATGAGAGTTCCCAGAGTGGTATAAAGAATATCTCGAGATGGAATTGCAATGCCTAAAACAAAGAAGAATTTTTACCCTGATAGATTCTGAATAAGAAATATTTTTAATGATTGAACCAATTAATATATGTAATTAAAATGTCAAAAAAGCATTAAAAATAATGATAGTTCAACTGAATAATAGGAATATAATTTGGTCTACACAAAGATATATGGGTAGGTTACCAGTTAAGTAGAGGGAAAAAAGTGAGTTCACTCAAACACAAACCCCAAGTTAAACAATCTCATTACAAATTTAAATTTTGATTAAGGAAAGCCTTCTTGAGAGCAAACATAGAAGTTTTTGAAAACCAGTCTCATAGCTTAAATCTTAGTAAGAATCCAAAGAAAAAATGAAAAGTCTGTGCTTGGGTAAGGGCAAACTACCTAACACCTGGATTATGGTAATTTTTCAATAAGGAAGGTAACAATTTTAAAGAAATTCTCTTTCCAAATAGCAGGGTTCAAAATTATATTTAGATTGTGAAAACAATGTTTAAAAGTGTAACACTGGAAGAAAATACATCAGTATGTTAATATTGGTTTCCTTCGAGTGTGTGCTCAGTCGCTTCAGTCGTGTCCGACTCCTTATGACCCTATAGACTATGGCCTGGCAGACTCCTCTGTATATGGGATTATCCAGGCAAGAATACTGGAATGGATTCCCATGCCCTCTTTCTCCAGGTGGTCTTCCCAACCCAGGGACCAAACCTGCATCTCTTATGTCTCCTGTATTGGCAGGAGAATTCTTTACTACTAGCACCACCTGGGAAGCCCTTTGTTTGAGCAGTGATACTATAAGTGATTACCTTTCTATATTTTCTGGACTATTCTACAATATGCATATTTTATAATGGAAAAATAAAAAATACTCTTGTGTAATCATGCATTTGGGATATCATGCAGCTGTGAAAAGAATGAGATTGATATATGCTTCAACAGAAAGACATCAAAAATCTGTCTTTAACTTTAAAAAGGAAAGATGTACAAAGAATGTGTATATGTGCATGCTCAGTGGCTCAGTGGTGTCCAATTCTTGGTGAACCCATGGACTGTAGCCCGCCAGGCTCCTCTGTCCATGGGATTTTCCAGGCAAGAATCTTCCCAACCTCAGGGATTGAATCCGCATCTTGCATCTCCTGGGTTGGCCCGCAGATTCTTTACCACTGTGCTACCTGGGAAGCCCAGAAAGAAAGTATACAATGATCCAATTTGTTGCTTTAAAAGGATACATATATTCAAATACAATGTATGAATAGCCCATGAGAAACTACAAACAATAGAAGTTGTCACCACTGGGAAGTGGCAATTTAAGAATAGGCAGGGACCTCTGTGGAAGATATTAAGACTACAATTCCACTGCAAGGGGCATAGGTTCAATCCCTGGTTGAGGAACTAAAATCCCATATACTGCAGAGCACAGTAAAAAAAAAAAAAAAAAAATAGGAGGCATGGGGAGAAGATGAATCTTTCATTTTCTGCTTTGCCCTCCTTTCTACAGAGTCTGACTTAATTAAATTACTACCATAAACATTATTTTTGAAAAAGTTCATCCGGAAGATAAAAAAATGCTCATAAATCTGCTGATGCAGATCTTTTTCTGACAGGGCTCTAATATAAGTTTCTATCATAGAAAAGAAAATGGGAATTCCCTGCTGGTACAGTGGATAAGAATCCGTATTCTGATGAAGGGGACACAGGTTCAATCCCTGGCCCAGGAAGAGTCCACATGCCTTGGAGCAACTAAGGCTGTGAGTGGCAACTACTTGAGCCCATGCGCTGCAACTACTGAAGCCGGAGCACCCGGAGCCTGTGCTGTGAAACAAGAGAAGCCACCAAAATTAGAAGCCCACACACCATAACGAAGAGTAGAAGCCTCTGCTTTCTGCAACTAGAGAAAGCCCAAACATAGCAACAAAGACTCAGCACAGCCAAAAATTAATTAAAAAAAAAAATCCCTAAAAGAAAAATATTGTATATTGCCCAGTTTATGTGTTTAAGATGATTTATAAATAGAAAACAAACACACTCAATGAACTAATAGAGAAAAACTTCTTACTCTACCTGGGTAATGTTTCATCAAATGTTCCAACAGTGATTCTTGTGTTACTACAATCTGATTAGCATTCATATCAGATATAGCACAGCAGAGAACTTCAGCCAAAGGTATAAACTGAGATTGAGCTATTGGATTCATTTGCACTGGAAAGACATCACCTAAATTGGAGATTGGGGGAAAAAAAAGTGATAAATTTGATACAGCATATAAAATATTTGAAATTAGTTAATCAAGAATAAAGACTATCAGGTGGAACTGCTATTCTTTCATCAGTCTTTACTCAGTCTGTTAACGTTATATACACAATGATAAAAACCACAGAACAAAATGGCTTACTTTAAGATCTCTACTTTTAAGAAGTCTGTGATATTTGTCACTACTTTATAAGCAAGAGATAATAAGTTTCCATAAGAAAGCTCAAAGTGCTACTGGAGTTCAGGTCAGACAATGCTTATATGGCAATTCACATCTTTCATAGCATTTTTTCATATTAGCTACCAGAGATAAGCAGAGATGGAAGTATTTCTTTATTTTATATAGCCATAAAAAGCTCAGTAATTGTGCCAATAGTTGTTGTTGTTCAGTCACCAAGTTGTGTCTGCCTCTTTGGGACCCTGTGAACTGCAGCACACCAGGCTTCCCTGTCCTGCACTATCTACCAGAGTTTGCTCAAACTCATGTCCATTGAGTTTGTACATGACATCCAACCATCTCATCCTCTGTTGCCTCTTTCTCCTTCTGCACTCAATCTTTCCCAGCAATCAGGGTTTTTCCAGTGAGGCAGCTCTTTGCATCAAGTGGCCAAAGTATTGGAGCTTCAGCTTCAGCACCAGTCCTTCCAATGAATATTCAGGGTTGATTTCCTTTAAGGTTGACAGATTTGATCTCCTTGCTGTCCAAAGAACACTCAAGAGTCTTCTCTAGTACCACAGTTTGAAAGCATCAATTATCCAGTGCTCACTCAGCCTTCTTCATGGTCCAACTCTCATATCCATAAATGTCTCCTGGAAAAACCATAGCTTTGACTAGATGGACCTTTGTCAGAAAAGTGATGTCTCTTGTTTTTTAATACACTGTCTAGGTTTGTCATAGCTTTCCTTCCAAACAGCAAGCATCTTTTAATTTCATGTCTGCAGTCACCATCTGCAGCCCAAGAAAATAGTCTCTCACTGTTTCCATTGTTTCCCCTATCTATTTGCCATGAAATGATGGGACCGGATGCCATGATCTTAGTTTTTTGGATGTTGAGTTTTAAGCCAGCTTTTTCACCCTCCTCTTTCACCTTCATCAAGAGGCTCTTTAGTTCTTCTTCACTTTCTGCCATTAGGGTGGTCATCTGCATATCTGAGGTTGTTATTTCTCCTAGCAATTTTTATTCCAGCTTGTGATTCATCCAGCCCAGTATTTTGCATGATGTATTCTGTATAAAGGTTAAATAAGCAGGGTGACAATATACAGCCTTGACATACTCAATTCCCAATTTCGAACCAGTCTGTTGTTCCATGTCTGGTTCTAACTGTTGCTTCTTGACCTGCATATAGGTTTCTCAAGAGGCAGGTAAGATGGTCTGGTATTTCCATCTGTTAAGAATTTTTCAGTTTGTTGTGATGTACCCAAAGGCTTTAGCATAGTCAATGAAGCAGAAGTAGATGTTTTTCTGGCATTCCCTTGCTTTTTCTGTGATCCAATGAATGTTGGCAATTTGATCTCTGATTCCTCTGCCTTTTCTAAAAGCAAGTAAAGGGAAAGAAATCAGTCTTCTGACTCTCAATCCAATATTTTGGTCATTCCACCATTTCCTAATTGAAATAATTAGTATGAGGAATTCTCTAGTGGTATCCAGTGGTTAATGCTTCCTTAACCTTCCACTGCAGGGGGCTCAGGTTCAATCCCTGGTCCCACATGGCATGTGGTGCAGGCAAATAAATGCAGCCATTGCCACATTAATAAAAAAAAAAAAAGTCAGATTTGGGTATTTATTCCCTGGTGGTCCAGTAACTAGGATTCACTGCTGAGGGTGTGGATCAGCCAACTAAGAATCTGAAAGCACAAGCCACATAATACACAGCCAAAACAAACAAAAAATGTCAGATTGAAGGAAGGGAGTTGGTGAGGAAAAAGTGAAGTTAATGAGTGTTCCTTCTGAAGCAGGGTTTCTCATCTTTGGCACTTCTGACAAATGATGACAGATGTCAAATGGGGCCAGATGACAAGGGTGACAAGGACTGAGGGGTTTCCTGGGACTCAGGATTTTCAGTACTATAACCAGAAAGTTGAAAGCAAACTGGGATGGTTGGTCACCATAGACAGAGAATTATTTGTTGTGGAGAGCTCTCTTGATCATGGTAGGTTGTTTATTAGCATCCTTGGCCTCTCAATGCCAGGAGCATCTCCCACAGTTGCAGCATCCAAAAATGTCTCCAGATACTGCCAAATGTCCCTGAAAGGAAGAGGTTGGGAGTCAAAAGTATCTCAGCTGTAAACCACTGTTCTAGACCATTTGTTGGAAAAATCCGATTGTGAAAGAGTAGAAATAGAACACAAACCAGGAAAAACTAGGATCAAATGAATGTGACTATGTAGGTTGCGATTTTCTTAAAAGAAGATCTTTGCACATTTGGATGCCAAAAAGAAGGACTTAGTGGCAATGATGAAAATTATTCCATGAGAGAGAAGAGCAGTAAGACAACAAGATCCCAAAAGAGGGGAAAGGGAAAGCATCTAAAAGGCACAGGTAAAAGAAGAACTATCTTAGAAATGAGAAAGATTGTATTTCATCTGAAACTTGAGAAAATATTAGATCGCACATGACCAGAAATATTCTGAGGCATGGAAGGAAAAAAAATATTAGTACAGCAAAGTCATCTGATCTCTGTAAAGTGAGAAGGCGAGAAAGAAAATAGAGATGGGAGGAGAGAAAATGGGACTGAGGAGGTGAAGAGTAGGAAGGAGGGAGTTTGGGGAGTTATTCTCAGGGGTACATTAGGAAATTTAAAAATGAGCACAAAGATTATGAAGGAGCTCTGAGTCTCCTAAGTGTGGTTTCTGGCAGATGAAGCAATTTGAAATCAAAAAAGATGGGGAGTCAGGGAGGCTACTAGTTTCTAAAACTTCAATGTGCATGTGAGAATCACCAGGCAATTGTGCTCGGGAACAGATTCTCTGTGATTCAGAAGATCTGAAACTGAGCCTATGATTCTGCATTTCTAACAACCTCCCAGGTGATGTTTCACATTGCAGTTCTGAGGACCGCTCTTTAGAGTGGTAGAGGGATAGGGTGTTAAAATAGTTAATCAGTCAACAAAAAACATGGCCCTAGGGCAGCATGGGAGTCCACTCTAGCCAAAGAGAAGCCGAAGAATTTAGAAAACCTGGCTATAAACCCTGCATTTGACTCTCCTAGTATCAGTGAGGAAGCCAATATATTGCACTGTTTGTTGAGGAAAGAAAGTGATGAGGACTGGCCAGGAGCAAAGGGTTGTAGCCAAAGCTGGTAAATGGTTCATAGCACTTACTGTATCTGCATGAAAGATAAAAGGACCTCTTCCATCAGGAAACTAATAGTCATTTGCTGTTCAAGACCACATTAGTTTGTTTTCTTGTTTGCTTAAGCTTCTCTATTTGGCAGGCTGGGGCATCTTTGACCTTGGAAGGTCACAACACAGGGCAGAATTGCCGTCTGCTTTGGCAGCAGAGGGAAGGATCTCCTCTTGGCCTGCTAGGTGTTGTTGCATTGGGTGATGCTAAGATACCTAGAGCATTCTGAGAAGCTAGGGTGAATGGCTAGTCAGTTAGCATTTCTAAGGTTGGTGATAAGAGATGATGCTATGAAACTGACTGTCCAAGTGGAAGGTTAACTGACCTAAAACTCAAAATTCTCCTAGAAACTCTACCTCTGAGCTAAGGGTAATAAGCCTTTCTCCCTATCTTCATTCCCTCTTTGCTTTGTTTTTCACTCTCCACATGTGGGACTGCGTTTTGTTTTTTTCACATCCCTCCTCAACCAGACAAAATATTGAATTTATATTTTTATGCTTCTTAAACACAACTTTGTGTTTAATTTAAAACAAACTTATGTAACTCTCTTCCCCATCTTCCAAGTCACTCTTAGTGACTTTTTTTCTTGTATGTGATCTTATATTGATTACCTGCCCCACTTCATGCGAAACTTAGAAGCCCTAATCCAAAAAGGATGGACGAGTTTTTCTCTGCTAGAAAGATATGGGCTTAGAGTGTTGGAGAAGTAGAGGGCAAAACCTAAAAAGGCTTTGCTCAACCACACAATACACATTCAAACCTCACCTCACTCCTGGCCTAAATCCAGCCACTCTGAACCTTGAGACGGGGCGGGCAGGGAAGGGAAGGCTAGAGATGAGTGGCTAGAAAGTCAGTTTACGTTTGATGCCCCTGCCGTGCCACCTGCCAGTGACTGCCCATTTCTGTCCATATGAAACAAGGAGGCTGTACTAGGGTCTGAGAACGGGGTTAGACCTGAAGCAGCCCATTTTCTAGTTCAACCCTTCAGCTTGTCTCCTCTTTTCATAGGAAAATGAAGAGTCGAAATGGATTTTTTATGGGCCTGGGAGCAGGTGTGCGTGGGATGTTCCTGTACATTTCTCTGCAATCTCCTGTATATAACTACTTCTAAACAAAAGTTTAAAAAAAAGATTTTTCAGAAAGTACTACTTTTCATTAACAAGAAGCGTATGAGAAATGTTTCTCATACATTTTAAAAATCCCAAGCAATTTTTTCTTAATCTCAACACTGCTTGCCAAATCCAAAGATACTTTTGGAAATTTATTCATAATTCCTACCATAGTGTGGGGATGTATATTTTAAAAGAGTAAACAAATCCACTACCCACCAGAAAGACAGATGCCTTTTTTTTTTTAATTACTACAGTTATATGTCAATTGTCTTTTAGAAAACACGTTGAATCACATGTAGCCTCTGCTTTGGAGCTCCCTCTAAGAGACAAACCCTAGAGAAAGTTTCTCAGTACATTCCTTTCACAGCTGTTGCTAAGATACGTCTTCAGGTGCATAAATCATCAAGAGTTTTTTGTGCAGAAAAGCAGGGTGAACCCTGACACGGGAACATTTGTGATAGACGTAGGAATCATTTTCCAGCTGTAGCCATAGTTTGTTTCAGTTACTT